CTGTGTGTGTCTGGGGGGCCTGTTAGGGAAATTATTTTAAATATATATATATTTTATTTTATTAATAATTATAATATTATAATAATTAATAATTATTAATAGTTAATTTAAAAAAAAAAAGTTATGTCCCCCCCCCTCCCTTCTTACCTTTAGCCTGGGAGGGGTGGAGCCGTGTTGCCATGAGGGGGGGGGGCATGCTCTCATGCTTCCCTGGTGGTCCAGTGGTGAGAGTGAACTCTAGCCTGCAGGTTAGAGTTCACTCTCGCGAGATCTGAGCGTTGCAACGCTCAGAATCCCGCGAGAGGACCCCGCGGAGCTGCTGGTTAGAGCTCCGCCGGTCTTCTCCTCCCTCACTCCCTCACTCAGCCGGTGGCCGCCTGTAACAGTGCCTGTGGGCCGGTGAGGGAGATCTTTGATCTCCCCACCGGCCCATGAAGGCACACAGCAGGGCCGGCGCTCGGATGGCGCTGGCCCTGCAGGGGCCGGCCGGGGAGATCCCCTGCAGGGGCCGGCCGTGGAGATCCCCTGCCGGCCTCGGCCCCACGGCCATCGCGGCCCACCGGGCATTTGCCCGGTATGCCCGATGGCCAGTCCGGGCCTGGTCCCCATGTCTCCCAGTGTCCCCATGTCTATGTCCACAAGTGTCCTCATGTCTCCCAGTGTCTCCAAGTGTCCGTCTCCCAACCAGTGTCCCTAGTGTCCCTCAGTGTCCCCATTTCTCTGTGTTTCTAGATGTCTCCCAGTGTCAACATGTCTGTATCCACAAGTGCCCCCATGATCTGTATCCACAAGTGCCCCCATGTCTCCCAGTGTCCCCAAGTGTCTCAGTGTTCCCGGGTCTCTGTGTCCCCATGTCTCACTGTATCCCCTAGTATCCTAGTGACATGGGGACACTGGGAGAAATGGGGACACAGACACTGGGAGACTGGGTGACATGGGGTCACTGACACTGATACATAGGGACACTGAGACACTGGGTGACTTGCAAGATTGAGACACTGGGAGCAATCCATCTATACAGCAGAATCAAACTGTGAGTAGCTTGTTGGTGATTTTACAGAATTTTCTATTATGTCACTCCTTGTGATTTTACATTATGTGATGTCATGCATACATAATTAATTATGCAAATTATTTAAGGCTGGTATATTTTTTCAAGAAAGGTGGCAACCCTAACTCCTCTTCAAATACTCTTGCTTAAAGGAACACTATAGGCTCAGGAACACAATCATGTATTTCTGACCCTATTACGTTAAAACCACCCCCCTGGCTCCCTCTTGCCTCCCTAAATATAGGAAAACCTTACTTGTATTCAAGTCTGCAGCTGCTGGCTCTGTCTCTGAACTGACTCTGTCTGCTGACATAATCAGAAGTGGTGGTCTGAGCAAATTACTCTACTTCCCCATAGGATTAGCTGAGACTGTCAACTAGGCAAATCAGGGGCAGAGTCAGCACAAGTCAAACATAGCCCTGGCCAATCGGCATCTCCTCATAAAGATAAATTGACTCAATGCATCTCTATGAGGAAAGTTCAGTGTCTACATGCAGAGGTTGGAGACACTGAATGGCAGTACTGCACCAAGAAGCAGCCATCTAAGGAGTGGCCAGAGTTATTTTCTCTGACAGTGTTTACTGCAAAAAGCCTGAATGGAATAATTCTGCTTACCTGAACAAATACAATAAGCTGTAGTTGTTCTGGTGACTATAGTGTCCCTTTAAGTATGGGAACAAAACTTGTGTGGACTGGCTGACAATAAAATTAGTTTAGGTAATGCTGACTTTGGTTTCTCTAACACTGTGGCATGTTTCCTTTCTTCTACACTCACTACATACACCTTTTCTCTGTCTCGGACTGTATACCAGGAGCTTCTGCCTGCTAGTAAGAAGGTAAGGAGACAAGTGGACCAGCAAGTGCTAGGGGACAGTCCTTAGAAAGCATGGAGCGAGTGCATCATTTGATGCATTTATGCCAAGCTCAAGGTGCTGCCTGCATAATATGCCCTTAGTTGGACAGCCTGCATGATTGGCAGGCTTGCCTTCCAATTCTTTGCACAAACATGCCCCCATTTTGGGCATGTTCACCCCTTTTGGCAGGTCGGATCATGTGATAAGCACCAGTGGTACATCCTTTTACCCTGACCATTGACTTCCTGTTTCACTGGACACTGCTGTTAGGGCATATGGATTTACTTGAAAGATGAAAGCATGCATTAGAGAGAGATTAGCATAGAGTATGTGTTTTCTTATAGCTGCATCCTTTGTGTTTCCCTCCAACACCAACTCCATCAGATACATGACGCTTGGGAGGTATGATTGTTTTAATGTTTTTGGTTGATAAGATTCTGTAATTAGGCCCATCATAATTGTCAGCACCAGGCCCACTGGACTCTTAATCTGGCCCTGCTGCCATACTGCTATTCATATTTAGTCTGCATTATCTTTTCTGTACATTATTTAAGGTGCCGGCCCCCTGAAGTGGTTGTTTGGCCAGAAACAGTTGAACATGTCAGCAAGATGGCTGAATTGTGCTATAATCACAAAGTGCCTATCATTCCCTTTGGTACTGGCACAGGCCTGGAAGGTGGTGTAACTGCAGTACAGGTAAGCACCTTATTTAATTGGTGGTTAATTTATAACAATTATAGGTGTGAAAGGGGTATAAATCACATCTTCCAAACTGGAAGTATCTGATGTTTTATTGTTATATATATATGTATATATTCTCTTTATGCATGATTGATATGTATAATCACTGCTCGGCTGTAGTTCATGGTGCCTATTGCCTCAATTGGCATTTCACCTGCATGTCATGATGAGATATGCCAGAGAGTTATTGCCAAGTACAGGGTCCAAGGTGCTGTCCATACTTTTAGATTGGGTTTTCTTGGCTTACCCAAGACAATTTTAGCTGTGAAATGGACCAGATTGGGCACACTTAGAGACTAATATTTAATTAATCCCATTTTCTGTGTGTCCCCTTGTTAAATGGATCCTGTGTGCATGTTTAATAAATTCCTTGGAACATTAAATGATTATCATGGCAATCCTGTAATGAACGCTTTGACAGCTACCTACTACATGTCCATGTACAACAGGGAGATGACAAGGAGCATGGTTAGTAGGCCTGTTTGCATGTAACAGAAACAATATCTTATTATATTGTTATTATCATCACTGGTATTCATATAGCGCCAATTTATTCCACCGTGCTGTACAATATTATAAAAGGGGGAAATGTAACAATTAAATAGACAATTACAAAATTAAGAGGGAATGAGAGGACGTGATATGACGCAGTATGACAAACAATATATACTGCGATAAGAGGGAATGAGAGGACGTGATATGACGCAGTATGACAAACAATATATACTGCGATAAGAGGGAATGAGAGGACGTGATATGACGCAGTATGACAAACAATATATACTGCGATAAGAGGGAATGAGAGGACGGGATATGACGCAGTATGACAAACAATATATACTGCGATAAGAGGGAATGAGAGGACGTGATATTACGCAGTATGACAAACAATATATACTGCGATAAGAGGGAATGAGAGGACGGATATGACGCAGTATGACAAACAATATATACTGCGATAAGAGGGAATGAGAGGACGGGATATGACGCAGTATGACAAACAATATATACTGCGATAAGAGGGAATGAGAGGACGTGATATGACGCAGTATGACAAACAATATATACTGCGATAAGATGGAATGAGAGGACGTGATATGACGCAGTATGACAAACAATATATACTGCGATAAGAGGAATGAGAGGACGTGATATGACGCAGTATGACAAACAATATATACTGCGATAAGAGGAATGAGAGGACGTGATATGACGCAGTATGACAAACAATATATACTGCGATAAGAGGGAATGAGAGGACGGGATATGACGCAGTATGACAAACAATATATACTGCGATAAGAGGGAATGAGAGGACGGGATATGACGCAGTATGACAAACAATATATACTGCGATAAGAGGGAATGAGAGGACGGGATATGACGCAGTATGACAAACAATATATACTGCGTTCAGAGGGAATGAGAGGACGTAATATGAAGCTGAGCGAGAGACATCCGTGGTTAATGTCAAGAGATGGGATGTTTTTCTGTAGATGGATAGCGAATGTCACAGACATTAGATTGGATGTCTATAACAGATTCTCTTTTTGCTGCAGGGTGGAGTCTGCTTCAACATGACACGGATGGACAAGATCTTGAATTTGAACACGGATGATTTTTATGTTACTGTTGAACCAGGCGTTACGCGCAAGTCATTGAACAGCTATCTGAGAGACAGCGGACTCTGGTTTCCTGTTGGTTAGCACGTGGGGTCATTCTCTGGGATTTTCCTCTCTGCACACTGTAACATTCTCTGTTATTCTCTAATTACATTTTATCTTAGATCCAGGAGCGGATGCCTCGCTTTGTGGCATGGCAGCAACCAGTGCTTCCGGCACCAACGCAGTACGATATGGGACAATGCGTGATAATGTGATTAACCTTGAAGTGGTTTTATCTGATGGAAGGATATTAAACACAGCAGGAAAAGACCGAAATTTCAGGTACGCGAAAGGCCAACGTGACAATGTTTTCATTTGTCCTAGCTCATAGTACACACACATTCTGGGGTCAATTATAATCTGGTGTCAGTAACCAATCAATAATGCTTTCTGTCTTTCCAGCAGTAAAAAATTGTGCCTCTAGAGTATTTGACTACATCACAAGTTAAAGTTTTCAGACGGCCAAGTACATTCCGGGTAATAGCTGAAAGGCATGTCATTAACCTATTGGTTCCATGTGGACATCGTAGTATGTGATAGTTTTTCTTTTTTTACAATCTTTATATATGTTTTTAGTTTGCCATTTTTCACTTAGTTTCAGTTAATTGTCTTACTATGCAGAGAAAGAAAAAACTCGGAATGGAGTATACAGTGGCATAGTGAGCATAGAAGAAAGCACACAAAGCTTATGTTGCACACATCAACAGTTTAGGAGGTCCAACCTTTTGTTTAGTATAAACCTTTATAAATGGATAGTCATGTAAAGTGGGGTTACGAGGTGGAAACTGCGACCCCTGCGACCGCGGTATGTATGCCAGTGGTCAGTGTGTTGTAATGCTTACCGAAGCAGGAATGTAGTAACCGTGATGAGACAATATGTTGAGCACTGGGTTATCTTCAATGTGTAAATGTATGTGTAAAGGGTAAGGAGAAAAGGTACTGGGAAGGGTGAGAAGAAATAACAAGCAAACTTTGGTAATAAGGTTCTACCAGTTCCCAGTGGCAGTAGTCTAGGTACGATCTTGTCTAACCGTTGTTAGGGTGTGAAAGCCCTCGTGTATTTGCAGTCACCCCAGTGATGTAAGTTAGCCGGGGTGTCCAAGTTTGGGTACATTTTACTGAGCGTCCCCATAGGGATTCTGTCAGAGATTCTATAGAGTAAATCTCCTCAACTTTTGCAATCCATTGCCGGAGGGTGGGTACCCCAGCCTGTTTCCAGAGTGTTAAGATCAGGGACTTAGTGGCTGTTAGCAGATAAGGGGGCAATGATTTTTTTTGTATCTTTGTAGTGCTAGTGAGGTGTGATGTAGGAGCATAGTCAAAGGTTGAAATGGTAGGGAGGTGTCTGTGATTTCTTGGAATTTGGACTGTATCATTGTGGCAGAAATGCCTCTGCCACTTGTTCTTGGAGGTAGTTATGGTAGGGTGTGGAACTGCACTCTATCCCTTTAAGCAGTATGTAGCTGGGTGCAACTCGGACAGTCTCAGTACCAGAGACCAAATGCTGAATAACAAATAGACGAAAGGTCCAGGCACAAGGCACAAGCAAAGCAATTTTATTTAACCCACTCCATCACTTGTTCTTGGAGGGGCCTGCTTGCCAGCCTCCTGTCTCAAGACTATGGGCTACGTGAAAAGGCTCATAAAAGACTTTGTTTGTACACTTTATCTATCCTGTTTGGGAACCGAACAGGCGCACGAACCATGGACCACCCGGGAGTGTGTTAAGCCTAATTGACAGTTTGTAACACGTTCCACCGCAGTGTTCTAATTGTTCGTCTGGGTGGCCGTTGTTTGCATGAACGACTACGAGGTGGCAGCCATCTTGTTCCCACAAACGCAGGCAGCCGTGTTTGGGAATGAATCTCATGGAACTGCAATCGGACACAGAAACTCCCGAACACCACAGGACTTCCAGCATCGCCTGCGTTCGGTTCTACACCACTTAGAAGGGCACTGTTCGGTGGAAACGTTCCCACGAACAAGGTGAACAAGCTCCAGGGTAACACTATTGACTCTGTTTGGTAGTTTGTTCATTTTGAAACTACCGAACTAGACCGACCGCTAGCCATGATTTCATGGAACTGTTTTGGGCATTGGACCATGTGCACGGTCGGTCAAATAATTGACTTCCATGAAAATCCCGAACCCCTAAACCGATCTGATTGATTTTTGGATATGTTGGTCACCCAGATCGGGGCTATCAGAGGATGTGACTCTTGTGAAGTTTTCATGTGTTTTGGAGGTACTTTTGAGGTATTGTTATATTGCTGTCAGGATTACAGTATGATCCAGCACGTAGAATTGTGTAACACAGAGGACTGATAGGTAACGTATACCGAACCTTAGAATGGCCGGACTAACGTACCAAAGAATAGTCAGAAATAGCCAAGGTCAAGGGATACAGAAAGAGGCACAACGATAAGGAAAAGCCAGGGGTCAGGGATGCCAGAAAACAGGGAAGTCAATATCAATGCCAAAGTCAAATAACCAGAAAAAACAGAATCAATAACATGCTCTCGGACAACCACAAGAGAAACCACAACAGGAACCACAACAGGACACAGAGCAAGATGAACTGGGCCTAAATACCCGTCTGTGGATCTGATTGGTTGTAACTGGCCTTTGACCTCAAAGGCAGCTAGCAGGTTCCTATTTGCGTAATTGCTGCTCAGCACAAACCCTCCTGTGGATTGATTGCGGTTTAGCACAAACCCTCCTGTGGATTGAGTGCTGCTCGGCACAACTTTTCCTGTCAGGACAGTAAATGCCATTAATCACATTTTTATGTGCAGATGAATACGTGACATTACCCCCCCAACTGAAGAACGCCCACCGGGTGGGCAGGACCAGGCTTGAGAGGAAACCTGGTGTGAAAATAGAGAATCTTGCGGCCAGCATGTATATCAGACGCCGGAACCCAGGAACGATCTGCTGGTCCATAACCTTTCCAATCCACCAAATACTGGAATCAATTATGGAGGAGACCTCATACTCTTCCTGTCCAGAAACAACTAAGGGAGGTGGAGGGACACTTGAGACAGTATATTTATTGCAAACAAGAGGTTTGAGTAAAGACACATGAAAGGTATTAGGATTTTTCAAGGAGGCTGGAAGGGCCAGAGAGTACGCAACAATTGAGCCTACGAAGGACATGAAAAGATCCAAGGAACCTAGGAGCAAATTTCATGCTATGGACTTTGAGCCTGATGTTACGAGAAGATAACCAAACCCTCTCACCCACTTGGTAAACAGGGTTGGCACCTCGACGTGTATCAGCATAATGCTTTAAATGGATTGAACTTTAGCCCAGGTATCACGGATGGAAGCCAGACGGTCATCCAAAGCAGGAATAGCCGTATCAGAAAAAACAGCCGGTAGGACAGTAGGATGCCGGCCATTATTAACAAAAAATGGACTATGCCCAGAGGAGTCATGGTCAGCATTGTTCCTAGCAAACTCGGCCCATGGTAGTAATTCGGACCAATTGTCTTGCGTGGTATTAATGAAACAACGCAAATATAGTTCCATGGACTGGATAGCCCCCTCAGCTGTACCATTGGTCTGGGGGTGATAAGAGGATGAAAAAGACAATTCAATCCCTAATTGTTTATTGAAGGCCCTCCAAAACCAGGAGACGAACTCAGAACCTCTATTAGATACTATATTGTGAGGAATGCTATGCAGATGGACAATTTCTTGTATAAAGATTAGTACCAGGTCTTGAGATGACGGCAATTTCTTGAGAGGAATAAAATGAGCCATTTTAGAAAAACAGTCCACAACCTTGAGAATAGTGGTATAACCATTAGAACTAGGAAGTTCAACAATGAAGTCCATGGACTAGTGGGACCTCAGGAATAAGAGGTTGCAACAAGCCACAAGTGAGTTTATGAGGTACTTTGGAAACCACACAAACAGAACAAGCCTGTACATATTCCTTAACATCCTTCCTGAGGGAATCCCACTAGAAAGATCTCATGATAGCAGAAGTGGATTTATTAATACAATGATACATTCTGGGGGAATGATATGGGACGTTTCTTGCTCTAGTATAGCCTCAGTATCGAACTGCCTGGGCAAGGCGTCGGCCTTGACATTTTTAGAACCAGGTCTATAAATGATAAGAAAATTAAAGCGAGAAAGAAATAGAGACCACCTAGCTTGTCTAGAAGATAATCGCATCTCCTACGTAAGCCAGGTTTTTGTGATCAGTAATGATCAAAAGGGGGTCCTTGGAACCCTCTAAAAGATGTTGCCACTCCTTGAGAGCTAGAATAATGGCCAACAATTCTCTATTGCCAATATCATAATTGCGCTCAGCAGGAAACAACTTTTTAGAAAAGCAACCACAAGGATGTAACAGAGTTTCCTGGCTCTCCCTCTGGGAGAGAACTGCCCCTACCCGTCTCTGAAACATCAACCTTCAGTATGAAAGGCTTACTGGTGTCAGGATGTATCAATATGTCGGCGGAGGCAAACCGCTGTTTGAGAGTTTCAAAGGCTTCAAAAGCCTCCTTAGACCATATCGTACTACTAGCCCCCTTGCGTGTCATATAAATCTTCTGTAATAATTGGCGAAACCAATGAACCTTTGAATGGTTTTCAACCCAGTGGGTAAAGGCCACTGTAAAACAGACTCTAGTTTTTTAAGATCCATCTGAAACCCCAAGGCAGAAATATTATATCCTAAAAACTGTACTTCAGACTGGTCAAAGATACATTTTTCCAATTTACAATAAAGTTGTTTTTTTAACAAGGTTTGCAGAACTTGTTTAACATGATCGTGGTGAGACTGGAGGTCAGGAGAAAAAATAAGGATATCATCCAGATAGACCAAGACAAACGAGGGAGATAATTTAATATAGATGTGTACTACTTTGCAAGTATAATATGCACAGCATGAAGTTCATTTTGACTGCGTTGATGCGGCTAAACCAGGAGATATATTGGGGTGTCCAGCGTTGCATGCCAGTTTGCAATGTGGAAAGCAACCAGAGGAAATTAAGTTGATATAGTTTAATGAGATCATGTGGTAGTCAAATGCCTAGGTATATAAGTTTACTTTCGCACCATGAGAAGGGGAATTTCACGTGGAGATGGGAAGAGGATTCAGGGGTGAACGCGAGATGGAGTGCCTCCGATTTGTCCATATTAAGTTTCAGGTTAGAGATTCAATCGAACCGCCTAAAGGATTCCAACAGATTATGTAGGGAGATGTGTGGGGCTTGTCTGACTTCTGTCTTAAAGTCCCTGGCTTGTTTTACTTCCCGTCCTGTGTTCCAGTCCCTGGCCTGTCTGACTTGCTGTCCTGTGTTCCAGACCCTGTCTTGTCTTGACTTCCCATCCGGTGTTCCAGTCCCTGTCTTGTCTTACTTCTCATTCCGTGTTCCAGTCCCTGGCTTATCTGACTTCCCATTGCGTGTTCCAGTGCCTGGTTTGTCTGACTTCCCATTGCGTATTCCAGTCCCTGGTTTGTCTGACTTCCCATCCTGTGTTCCAGTCCCTGTCTTGTCTGACTTCCCATCCTGTGTTCCAGTTCCTAGCTTGTCTGACTTCCCATCCTGTGTGCCAGTCCCTGGCTTGTCTGACTTTCCGTCCCGTGTTCCAGTCCCTGTCTTGTCCTGACTTCACATCCCATGTTCCAGTCCCTGGCTTGTCTGACTTCCCATTCTGTGTTCCAGCCCCTGTCTTGTCTGACTTCCCATCCTGTGTTCCAGTCCCTGTCTTGTCTGACTTCCCATCCTGTGTTCCAGTCCCTAGCTTGTCTGACTTCCCATCCTGTGTACCAGTCCCTGGCTTGTCCTGACTTCACATCCCGTGTTCCAGTCCCTGTCTTGTCCTGATTTCCCATCCTGTGTTCCAGTCGCTGGGTTGACTGGCTTTCCATCCCGTGTCCCAGTCCCTGTCTTGTCCTGACTTGAATCACGTGTTCCAGTCCCTGGCTTGTCTGACTTCCCATCCAGTGTTCCAGTCCCTGGCTTTTCTGACTTCCCATCCCCTTTTCCAGTCCCTGTCTTGTCTGACTTCCCATCCAGTGTTCCAGTCCCTGGCTTTTCTGACTTCCCATCCCCTTTTCCAGTCCCTGTCTTGTCTGACTTCCCATCCCGTGTTCCAGTCCCTGTCTTGTCCTGACTTTCCGTCGCGTATTCCAGTCCCTGTCTTGTCCTGACTTCCAATTGCGTGTTCCAGTCCCTGTCTTGTCCTGACTTCCCATCCTGTGTTCCAGTCACTGGGTTGACTGGCTTTCCATCCCGTGTCCCAGTCCCTGTCTTGTCCTGACTTCCAATCGCGTGTTCCAGTCCCTGGCTTGTCCAACTTCCCATGCCGAGTTCCAGTCCCTGGCTTGTCCGACTTCCCATGCCGAGTTCCAGTCCCTGGCTTGTCTGACTTCCCATTGTGTGTTTCAGTCCCTAGCTTGATCCTGACATTACTTTTCTCCGTGCTCCTAAGCCTTATCTTTCTCGACTATGCATTGGTTCCTATGTTCCTGTTTCTGCCTGTGTCTGTTATTGTGTGTTTTCCATTTTGTTTCTGGGCTGTAGTCTTCTCTCGTCTTATTTCTTAGTTCCGGTAATACGCCTCTTCCTATCCTTCTGTCTTCGCCTTTGTTAGTTCGTTGCCTCTCACCTTGCTGAGGATCCTTTAGCCCTTTGACCCTGAGAGCAGGAACTCACACCATTCACTGAATGTTTGCTTTGCCTTTTTCCCCACATGGATTGCTCTCTTCCGTATTTATTAGTAAATGGTGAAGAGTAAGCTGTGGTTTGGCACAGTCCTTCCCATGAATCATTTCTTCAAGTTACGTGGGAAGGCAATGCAGGCGGTAGCAATCTGGATAGTAATTCTAACCATTTATAGATTCACAGTCCTTTTATGATATCAAGCACACAAATCCACGTTATCCAGGTTTCACACATAAGTCATTTTATTAACATGATTTATCTCCCAGTGCTGCAGGTAAAAGGACATGAAGAATTGCACAAATTTCAATGACAGTCTGTGTGTTATTTGACTTTATAGGAAGACATCTGCAGGTTATAACCTGACAAGCCTGTTTGTGGGCTCCGAAGGGACACTGGGTATAATTACCAAAACATCACTCCGTCTCTACGGTGTCCCAGAAGCTATGATGTCTGCTGTGTGTGCCTTTCCCAGTGTCCAGGCGGCAGTCGACAGTACGGTACAAATTCTGCAATGTGGAATTCCCATCGCTAGAATTGGTAATTACAAGATCCAGATACTACCACTACTGGCTGATACATGTATAAGTGGGGGGTAGTTCAGTGGAGACAAGACTTACGTTAGAACATTTTGTAAATCTTTCTTTATTCACAATCCACATTGAATACATACAATACGTGAGCAATAAAAACTGTGGTAAAACATAGCAACAGTACAATATCGTATACAAGCAAATCTCTATATGTGAGTCATGGGGTTGTGTGTTTTTAATAATAAGTAGTGTGTGAAATAAATAATTATGTTTCCTGCACCTCCGGGTTTGTAAAAAAATATGACAAATATGACATTTGGCTCTGAAGGGCGGTAAGCACATGATGTCTCCTAAAAACAATGAACAATATCGGAAGGTTGAAAGCCTAAGCTGGAGAGGTGAATCCCCCCTACAGCATCACTAAAACTGTTTCAGGGAACGTTGCTAGTCTATTTTGGCCCTTGACAAATTAGGGAAGAAAGTTAATGCATGCTCCTTAAATTGAAATGATGTCTTATTGCGTACAGCCAACGTGAAGGCCAAGCGATCTTAGCTCTGCTGGAAGTGGAGAATAATGTCCCTGCCTGTCCTTGGAGGACTAGTGGCTGGTCTGGGGATCCCTTGCTATCTGTCCAGCTGCATCGGTTTAGCTTGTTTAGCAGAGAAAACTGCGGTTAGTAGCTTGCAGACTAGGTGTGGAACCTCAGCAGCCTCTATAGTAGAAGGCAGACCACGTACTTTAATGTTTTCCCAGCTCTTTTTGTCTACCATAGCCTCTATGCGGTCCTGGGTTTATACCTGAGCATGTTGTAGGGCTAAAAGCTGCTGCTCCAGGTTTGTAATACGGTTCTCATTGGCTGTAGTGTTGAGTTCTGTATTATGTGGACGGGCTGGCACTCCACCAATGTTCTATTGGACTTGCCCGATGTCAGCTGAGATATTGCAGCGCACCTCACCCAGAAGGCCTCTCAACGTTTCCTCTGTAACCGGATACTTCCCAGAAGGATCAGGGGGTGAGTACGTAGGCTTTCAACCCAGTGGGTAAAGGCCACTGTAAAACAGACTCTAGTTTTTTAAGATCCATCTGAAACCCCAAGGCAGAAATATTATATCCTAAAAACTGTACTTCAGACTGGTCAAAGATACATTTTTCCAATTTACAATAAAGTTGGTTTTTTAACAAAGTTTGCAGAACTTGTTTAACATGATCGTGGTGAGACTGGAGGTCAGGAGAAAAAATAAGGATATCATCCAGATAGACCAAGACAAACGAGGGAGATAATTTAATTTAGATGTGTACTACTTTGCAAGTATAATATGCACAGCATGAAGTTCATTTTGACTGCGTTGATGCGGCTAAACCAGGAGATATATTGAGGTGTAACCAAACCCTCTCACCCACTTGGTAAACAGGATTGGCACCTCGACGTGTATCAGCATAATGCTTTAAATGGATTGAACTTTAGCCCAGGTATCACGGATGGAATCCAGACGGTCATCCAAAGCAGGAATAGCCGTATCAGAAAAAACAGCCGGTAGGACAGTAGGATGCCGGCCATTATTAACAAAAAATGGACTATGCCCAGAGGAGTCATGGTCAGCATTGTTCCTAGCAAACTCGGCCCATGGTAGTAATTTGGACCAATTGTCTTGAGTGCTATTAACGATACAACGCAAATATAATTCCAAGGACTGGTTAGCCCTCTCAGCTGTACCATAGGTCCGAGGGTGATAAGAGGATGAAAAAGACAATTCAATCCCTAATTGTTTATTGAAGGTCCTCCAAAACCAGGACACAAACTGAGAACCTCTATCAGATACTATATTGTGAGGAATGCCATGCAGACAAACAATTTCTCGTATAAAGATTAGTACCAGGTCTTGAGATGACGGCAATTTCTTCAATTAAATAAAATGAGCCATTTTAGAAAAATGGTCCACAACCATGAGAATAGTGGTATAACCATTAGAACTAGGAAGTTCAACAATGAAGTCCATGGACAAGTGGGACCGTGGGACCATGGGACCTCAGGAATAGGAAGAGGTTGCAACAAGTGAGTTTATGAGGTACTTTGGAAACCACACAAACAGAACAAGCCTGTACATATTCCTTAACATCCTTCCTGAGGGAATCCCACCAGAAAGATCTCATGATAGCAGAAGTGGATTTATTAATACCTGGGTGACCAGCAGACACATTGTCGTGAAACACCTTCATGATATTAACCCTTTCCCCCAATGGAATGAACAATTTGTCCTGAGGTTTACCGCAGGGCGCCTGAGACTGAGCCTCCACGATGGAGCCAAGCAGTGGAGAGGACAATGAAAGGACAGTGGACACAATAATACATTCCGGGAGAATGATATGGGATGTTTCTTGCTCTAATATAGCCTCAGTATTGAACTGCCTGGACAAGGCGTCGGCCTTGACATTTTTAGAACCAGGTCTATAAATGATAAGAAAATTAAAGCGAGAAAGAAATAGAGACCACCTAGCTTGTCTAGAAGATAATCACTTGGCATCTCCTATGTGAGCCAGGTTTTTGTGATCAGTAATGATCAAAAGGGGGTCCTTGGAACCCTCTAAAAGATGTCACCACTCCTTGAGAGCTAGAATATGATAGGACAAGAAGGAGATGCAATAACCTGAAATGTAATCTCTTCCTTATGTAAGGCACCAATGGAAATATTTATGGGTAAGGTTTCATGCGTTATCAATGGTTGTGAGAGTGGTCTCCCATCAATAGCTTCAACGGTTAGGGGTGATAGTCTCTCCTTGATAGGGATAGTATTATCCTTGACAAATTGGACATCAATGAAATTTCCAGCAGCCCCTGAGTCCATCAGGGCTTTGCATGAAAAGTTATTTTTGTCAAGAATAATCGAAATATCAATGAGAAGTTTATATTTATTCTTTTCAGAGGACGTCTCCATTATACGTAAGACCTGTCTCCTTAAGGTGCTTAGGTGGGGTAGTTTCTTTGGACGAATGAGACAATTGTCTCTCATATGTCCATTACTACCGCAGTATAAACATAAACCTTCGTTTCTCCTATATTGTTTCTTAGCCTCTGACAGTCTAGTGACCCCCAACTGCATGGGTTCAGGTTCCGACTGTATAGGAAGGTCAGGAACAACAGGTTCGAAGAGACGGGGTGTTAAAGACATAGTCATACGTCTGGTCTTATTTCTAGTATTCTCTCTGGTTCTTAGTCTATTATCAATTTGCATAACAAATGTGATGAACTCATTAAGTTTCTTGGGTAGATCTTTGGCAGCAATCTCATCTAGCATAGTGTCAGATAGTCCCCTTTTAAATGCAGAGATTAGCCCACTGTTAGTCCAGTCTACCTCGGAAGCCAGGGTACAAAATTCTATGGCATATTCCGAGATAGACCGGTTCCCTTGTCTGAAGTGCATCAGGGCAGTGGAGGCATCGTCCTCCCTGCCTAATGGTTCAAACGTAAGTTTAAATTCCATTAGAAACATCTGGTAATTTTATTAAGGACATGGAGGCTCTTATTAGGCTTATCTCTTATCTCTTATTCCTCAGCAGCAAAGAAAGCTAAGGTATTCGTAGTACAGAAAAAAAATTAACAAATACCCTCACAGGGTTAACCATTACATCACTATCTCCTAGCCAATGGGAACAGTCCACATATCATATAGTCCCATGTAACCCCTATCTCTTCCTCTTTCTTTGCTGCTGCCTCAGCTAAGTACCACCATTTTAATTTCAATCTGACAGGTTTTACTGCCAGTGTTTATATCTGTATATTTTGATGTAATACTGTACTGTTTACTGAGTACAATGTTTTAATTTACAACTGTTTAATGTCTTACTGTTAATTGTTTGGTGCTGGCCCTTTCATGGGAGCCACCTAGGAGTGAGCTGCTTCAGCCTGCTGCCCCCTTCCGTTTTTCCCGCCCGCCAGGGCAGTTAACCCGTTCTCCCCTTGCATTCCGGGTAGTTTATTACCCTAATCTCGCGCCGGTCGCTGTAGCCGGCTACCCAGACGTGGGGCATACCATTTTTGGAACCGCCCGTTCCATTTGGGCCCACTCGCGCATGCGCAGTCGTGGCAAATAGATTTTGCCGCGCTTTTCCCAGGTCGCACAGCTCACTGAGGGGTGGGCGCTAGCTGATTGGTTCAGACAACTGACTGTCAGCTTGCCAGTGCACCCCAGCGGCCATTCCTGAGGTAACACTCGGTAAGCTGACAGCTCAGTTTTGTTTCTGTGCCTTGCCTGCAATTATTCTGCCTGTCACTGCAGTGTGTGATTAGACACTGTTGGTTTAACAAGCAAATAACTGCTTCCACTGTTATTTCTCATGACTTTACCGTGTAGCCTGTTACCTCTTGCTAGTACCATGCAGACCCCTAAAGACTACCCAAGCACTACCCCCACTCTGGCTGAGAGTGTCTCCAGACACCCTTTAAGGCCACTACAAAGACCCACCACGTGGGTGCACATGCCTCCAAAACTGAATATACGGACAGGTTGCGTCCTGTCAACATTGAGGTCGTGGGGCCCCCACGAAAAAGAGCCACCCGCCGGGCAAAAACAGCACGGACATGGAAATGGGCAAAAGCCCTAACAGACTCTTCCGACTCTGATTCGGATTCTGAGGAGGTTTTGAATGCGTCCAATGAGACCGGCTCCACTGAATCAGAGGTCTCCTTCCCAGGCCAAAGCCCTACACACAAAGCGACCATGACCACTATTGACCACGCGGATACATCCGCTATCCTAGACCCACAAGGTGTACCCTTATTTGACCCCGATGCTTTGCAAAACCCGAGGTGGGCATAATGGTTCCCGACCGAACACTTGGCACGTTATATAGCGGCCAGAATCAGGAAACCCCTAGATAAGGCCACGAGGAACAAGCCACACTGGACATAGACCCTGGACATAGACCCCAAGGTGGCCCGATTTTTGGAGAAATCTGTCTGGAAGGCGAAAAAGGGGATTGACTACTCCTTACGCCACTGCCAGGACAAAGTGCTCGACACGTTAGGCCCCAGTGCAAAAATCTTTGAAATGGTCGAAGCGGCCTTAACCGATGGGACCCCAATTGACCTCCTGGCCATTAGGGGTTGGGTACAACGTTCTATATGCCTTATCGGCAATATAGAACAAAGCTACTGAACAAAGGAAGGCCATCCTCATAAAAATTGAGCCGAAACTGGTTTATATGGCCATATCTGAGCCTGGGCCATAGGCAAAAGGTTCTCTCTTTGGAGATAACTTCGTAAAGGAATTGGGCAACTATGTCAATACCTTTACGGCATTAGACAAGGCACAAACAAACTTAAAGAGAGTGTTCTCTCCCAAAATTATTGGTGGGGCCGCCAGACACCGGGGCCGTCTGTCCGGCCGGTCTTCCCGAGGTTCATACCGGGGATATCGAGGCCCTGCCACACCTAGATTTCAGCCTCCGGAGAACAAGTCCCCTTCGCCCTTCTTCCCGGTCAGGGGTAGATCGTGGCAGTCGCGAAGTACCAGGGGTGCCTCGTATGGCCGACGGCCTTATGGTAAGTGTCCTACCATCCCCTCCCCTGTGTATGTCTATAGTGGGGGGCAGACTGTCTCACTTTGTAGAGGTTTGTCACACACTAACGACAGATGTTTGGGTCCTACACACTATCCTATGTTACCAAATTGAATTTATAAATAACCCTGTCCAAACCTCTGGACCACACCGAATAGCTTTCTCCACACACGACAGGACCCTCATGAGCGAGGAAATCCTCACGCTGCAGGAGAAGGGCTGGATGTATCAGGTCCCGCAATACTCCCACGGGGAGGTGCGACCAGTCATCAATCTGCGCCCCCTGAACGCATTTGTGCGAGACCACCATTTCAAAATGGAAGGAATCCATTGTCTTCGGGACCTCCTCAGATTGGAGGATTGGATGGTCAAATTAGACCTGCAGGACGCCTACCTCACGCCTACCTCACAATCCCCATCGCCAAAGATTGGATTTGGACTCTCATCGGCCCCGTGGTGCTTCACCAAACTGCTGAAGCCCGTGGTGGCTCTCCTACACAGCAGAGGTGTACGGATGATCATATATCTGGAAGATGTACTGATCATGGCACACAACACCCAACTGCTTCGACAACACCTCTCCTGGGCACTGTTCCTCCTACAAAATTTGGGATTTTTAATCAATTGGAAAAAGTCCATCTTAACCCCATCCCCATGGAATTTCTGTGATTCAACATAGACGTGACAAAAGGAATGCTCAGTCTACCGACCACAAAGGTCAAAAGCATCAAGAAAGAAATCTGCAGGACGTCGGCACGCCCAATATTAACCTTACGGCAACTGGCCAGGATAATCGGCCTCCTCTCAGCCTCCATCCAGGCGATCTTCCCAGGACCCCTCCACTACAGGGCCCTTCAATGGCTAAAGGCCACGCATTTACGCTTGGGGCACTCATACTCCGACTCCATTCCACTCGACCACGAAGCCAAACAGGAACTCACCTGGTGGCTTCAACACATGGAAGCATGGAACGGCAGAGCAATCTTTGGAGCTGCCCCAGACTTCATCATAGAGTCTGATGCGAGTACACACGGTTGGGGAGCGCGCTGCGGGCCTATCTCCACCGGAGGAATATGGCCATACTCAGAAAAAGAACTGCACATCAACGGCCTTGTCATGCGGTAACACTTCCAGGTTCAGCACTTCCGCGATGCAGAGCTGACCCCGCCCCCCTCTGACGCAGCTCTGACTGTACTTGTGTGACCTACTTCCGCCATACTCGCCGGCTCCCGTGGCTCTGACAATGTGGGACCAACTTCCTGGTATACACGCCGGCTCCATAGACTCTGACAAGCCGTCCTAGCCTTTGAGCTAATGAATGGATGATACTGCGTGCCTTGGAGGATTACTGGAGAACTGATACTTGTTAACAATATATTCCCGGCCTATCCAATATAGTAGCAGATTGGAACTCCAGACATCTGCGAGCCGCTGGCGATTGGACCACAACACATTCCTACAACTGCAAACGCTCTGGGGTCCGATGTCCATCAACCTATTTGCATTTTGCCTGAACTCCCAGTTAACAACGTTTCTCAGCTGGAGACCAGACCCAGACACCTTAGCAACAGATGCTTTTTTCCAGCACTGACCGAGGGATCATTTATATGCATTTCCACCTTTCGCTCTCATGGCACGGACGCTAGTACATCTCAGACGAGCTCGGACATCATTGGTCCTCATAACTCCATTCTGGACTGCTCAACCTTGGTTCCCATCCCTCATGGAGATGTCCATCGACCTTCCGAGATTGCTTCCAGATGTCTCACACCTTTTACTGGATCCAGAAGGCAACCCACACCCCCTTCTACTTCAGGGGAACCTCAAACTCTTGGTATGGCTCCTTTCCGGGGACCCTGGGTCATACCAGATGTTCCACAGGACACTCTTGACCTACTGGCAGGAGCATGGGCACCTTGACGAGACGATCCTATCAATATGCCAGGAATGGCTGGAGTAGTTGGTGCATGGAACAGCAGGTGGATCCCATACGTGCTCCTGTGAATTACCTATTACATTTCCTTACCAATCTATATAACCAAGGTTTGGCTTACCGTACCATGAATGTCTACAGATCGTCAATCTCTGCCGGCCATCAAGGCCTCAATGGGACTCCGGCTGGCCAACAACTGCTGGCTCCTACGAGGCATAAAGTTGCTCGACCTCCCCAGCCTCGATACACATCGTTGTGGGATGTGAACCTGGTCCTTCGTTTCTTGGGATCCTGGCCACAAAATGAGGGACTCACACTTAAACAACTATCAGCAAAACTGGCCATGCTCCTCTGCCTGATATCCTGCAAGCAGGTTTCAGATGTTCGGGAATTGGACATAGATGCACGCTCTTTCAACCCCACGGGAGTATCATTCAATATTTCCAGACGCACAAAATCATCGATTTCCTACCTGGCATTTCCACCTAACATTAAGCTCTGCCTGGTGGACTGCCTACGGGAATACGAGAAACGAACCTGGGACCCAGGAGTACATTACATCAGGAGCTGTTCTTAACCACCAAAATGGCTCATCACCCGGTATCCACAGTGATGCTAGCACGATGGGTGAAATGAATCATGACCTTGGCAAACGTGGATACATCTATGTATGGCGCTCACTCTACTAGAGGGGCCATGGCTTTAAAGGTTTTCAACTTGGGCTGCAGATTAGAAGACCTTCTTAGAACAGCAGATTGGTCCCGTGAATCTACGTTTAGAGAACACTATTTTAGACCGACAGACCATGTTTCATCTATGGTTATTTCACAACTTTGAATTAGCCTAATAAAAGCCTCTGTGTCCTTTAATAAAATTACCAGATTTTACTAATTACATGACGTAAAGTCATGATTTTATTAAGGACACGGAGGCGAGTATTAGCCCACCCAGATATGGTACATTTGGACCTTTTTGTATCCCAACCCAGGTACGTAATACGTGTTCATAGTACATGTTTGTTGTTTAATGCTCGACTCTTAAAATCTTCAACAGTTACCTAATATATGTATTATTCAGATAAGTAAATGTTTAGACTGGTGATGGTTTAATATTTTCGATAATATGAAAATAGTTGATGGAACAAATTTTACCACTTGTTCTCTCTGTCCCCTTCTAGCCTGAAAATTATGACACTCCTGCAACATCGACAGCTTCCACAGTTCGAGAGGATCAGTTCCGAAGATCCGGCTCGCTATAGGAAGGATTCGTCGCCAAGATTTTGGCTACCGTCTGTTTTCTAATGTTTCAGTTGTTTGGTCAATTGCTGTTATTCAATATTAGCTTCAGCATTGTGACAGAACCGTCTGTCTGTGGATTGTGTTTATTCTCCCTCCGTTCGTCTGTTTGTTCAGTTATCTCCTTACCCGTACAGTCCCCGTGTGTTCCCTTGTTATTTCCCGAAAGACGCACGAAGGCGTGACCACCAGGAAGCTGGTGTGTGCCACCAATTGACCTCCCCGTAGCTAGCGTGTGCTGTCAGTTGACCACCCAGTAGCTGCGGTTAACCGCAGCTTAATTGACTGTTACCGGTTGGTCGTGGTTACACACGGTGGCGGCATCCTACAGCTCCCGGACAGCCAGCAGTATTCAGCCTAGCCTCAGTGAACTAAAAACGGACACTTTTACACGCGAACACCGCTGAGCCGACAGCCTTCCCTGCTTCTAACTCCAGTCGTATTGTCGAACACCAGAGCAATCGGGACTTTGTATTTAGTGAATGTTGTACCCAAATAGCTATGCCATGGAGCCTATTCATGTAATAAAAGAATTTGGCTCCATGGCAATTGAACCGTATGTGTGTTGTCTGAGCGCCATTCAGTAATGTGCGCTCAGACCTAATCTATCTGGGGATGTGTTACACGTATATGTTTTATGTATCATTCGTGCCATTGTGTATTTTATTGCATTTCTCTCTCCTGTTGTCACCTCATGGGTAATGGCAATTTGCCTCTGTTCTGGGAGATTATTGAATTACTTCCCAATTATCCCCAGGAACGCAATGTATCCTGGGAATGTTTTACCCCTTGTATGTCTGTCCTTGATACGTGTCTGTCCATTGTTACAGTCTCCCAACTGGTCCCCTAGTGGAGAGTCCACCAGGTGGGAGACCTGCATAAATACTGGGCAGGTAGCCCTCAATAAATCAGAATCCTGTTTTACTCTCAATATGAAGCTTGGTCTCGTGATTGGGGGGATTGCTACTGTGGAGTATTCTTTTGCCTGTTCCAGGAGAGAAGGATTTCGTATGATTCCCGTTCGGTGGTTTTGAGTGTTCGTGAGCTGCTGTTCCCTTGTAAAGGTGAATCCCTTAATCGTTATTAACCCTAACTACACCGGGTTATACTGTAACAGGCATCAACTAGAAAGAGGAAGAGATGGGGGTTACATGGGACTATATGATGTGTGGACTGTTCCCATTGGTTAGCAGATAGTGATGTAATGGTTAACCCTGTCAGAGTATTTGTTCATTTTTAAGTGCTCTTGCATAGCAAGACCACTTAATGTTTTCTCACATATATTGGAAGGCATGGCCTGAAGTTGTGGGAGGGGCTATAGACCTATAAAAGGGACTCCCCCCCCTTTCCCTACTTTCCTTTGTTGGTCAGTCAGACTGTTTGAGGTCAGCATTTGCATGAGATCCACTTCCAGGTCATATTACTCCAAGCTGTGTCCAGGAATCCTGCAGCAGGGCTTTCCGTTAATCCAATGGCTTCCTCTCCGGTCAGCATCGCATTTGGTGTCTCAGGGACTCTCAAACCGTAAATTGACCCACCTGTCGCGCCAGGATTAGTTCCCACTTTACGGTTTCCTTTTGTTTTGCACGGTTATTACGTTACCTTATACTTACCTAGCTGTTCAGGTAAAATCTGTTGTTTAAAATCTGTTTTAGTTAAAATCTGTTGGGTTAAAATCTGTTCGGTTAAAATTACAAACGAAATACAATTTTTCACCTACACACTGACCCCTACCAGTCTTTTGGTGTACTACAGGCTTCTCAGACATTATTGCATTTCATGTACAAATCAACGAACCACTGCATTTGCGCCTACACACTGACCCCTACCGGTCATTCGGTGTAGTACAGGCTTCTCAGACATTATTGCATTTCATGTACAAACCAATGAACCACTGCATTTTTCACCTACACACTGACCCCTACCGGTCATTCAGTGTACTACAGGCTTCTCAGACATTATTGCATTTCATGTACAAACCAACGAACCACGGCATTTTCGCCTACATGCTGACCCCTACCGGTCAATTGGTATACTACAGGCTTCTCAGACTTTATTTCACTTCATAAGCAAACAAACTAACTTCAGCATTTTGGCTTTTATACTGACTCCTATCTGTCAAACGGTATACTAAAGGCTTTTCAGACATATGGTTATTCCCCTCATAACATTCCCATTATAATTACACAATAACACTTCCTTACAACTCATGCTTGCTATGATATAATCATACCTGCCTACATAGGCATTTAGTTACATTTACTGACAATACGCATACATTTACCCAAGAATGCACATACTATTTAAAGCACTATGCAGGATTCCAGAGTCTAATAAGGAATATTTGAATGTTTGCACACTTAAAATATAAGTCCTTCCAATTACGTATTTTCACATATTGGGTTATTCAGCTGCCAGTCATGGTTCACTACACTCATGTTTCGGGGTACAGTTGTATTCCATATAACACTCAAGTTAATTTCCTTCAAACAGGGGCATTACAAGCATACAATAAACATTGGGACGTAGCACTTTTCTCTATTAAACTTGCATAACACACATATGGGTATACGCTTTTAACCCCTTAAGGACCGAGGACGGTTCAGGACCGTCATCGGCATTTTTGCCTTGCCGACCGATGACGGTCCTGAACCGTCCAAACGGTCTGGGGCTACTTACCTGATCGCCGTCGTTCCCCCGGCGGCGATCAGTGTTCCTCCGGTTGTGGGGAGACTGCCTGCAGCCCAGACAGTCTCCCCACGGCAGATTAGGACCCCTGTGGCCATGTGATCGCTTAACACAGTGATCACATGGTCACATAGGTGTCCATAGTGCTGCCTGCAGGGGGACTGCCTGTGCTGACAGGCAGTCTCCCTGCAACTGTAAAATCAGAAAAAAAATTAAAGTTAATGGTAATAAAAAAAATAATAATAATTATATATGTATAAATATGATATATAGACATATATTATACCTATATAATATATGTCTATATATCATATATATATAATGCCATACTAAGTGTATTTTTATATTAATATGTACTTATATTAATATAAAAATACACTTATAATTAAATTACACACGTATATATATAATATATATAATAACTATATATATTGTATATATATTATTATAAAATATAAATAATAAGTAATTTAAATTAAATAAAAATTTTTTTAAATAATAATAAAAAAAATTTAAAAAATTATATAGCTATATGAAATTTTATTCTAACTGTATTTTAAAATTAATATATATATATTTATATCAAAATACACTTAGAATGAATTTGTATATATATCTATGTATATAAAAATAAATAAAAATAATAAGAAATATACATACGTCCATATACAAAATTACATAAATAATTATATAAATATACACGTAGACTTCAAATATATAAATATGCATATATATTTAAATTCTACGTGCATATTTATGTAATATTTTTTACATAATTCAGTAATTTTATTGATTGCAATTTGAGGGACCTGCCTGCCAACCCAGGCCGAAATTCCAGAGAATTTAATTTGCTAGCACTGTATTTTACCCTGTAACGTTCTACGACACCCTAAAACCTGTACATGGGGGGTACTGTTTTACTCGGGAGACTTCAAATAACACAAATATTAGTGATTCACAACAGTAAAACATATCACAGCGATGATATTGTCAGTGAAAGTTACTTTTTTTGCATTTTTCACACACAAACAGCACTTTTACTGATGATATAATTGTTGTGATACGTTTTCCAGTTTTTAAACACTAATATTTGTGTTCAGCGATGTCTCCCGAGTAAAACAGTACCCCCCATGTACAGGTTTTATAGCATTTTTTAAAGTTACAAGGTCAAATATATGGGTCAAATATTTTTACATTGAAAATGGCCAGGTTGGTTACGTTGCCTTTGAGAGCGTATGGTAGCCCAGGAATGAGAATTACCCCTATGATGGCATACCATTTGCAAAAGAAGACAACCCAAGGTATTGCAAATGGGGTATGTCCAGTCTTTTTAGTAACCACTTGGTCACAAACACTGGCCAAAATTAGCGTTCAATTTAGTTTTTTTACTTTTTTCACACACAAACAAATATGAATGCTTACTTTGGCCAGTGTTTTCGACTAAGTGGCTACTAAAAAAGACTGGACATACCCCATATTGAATACCCTGGGTTGTCTACTTTAAAAAAAATATGTACATGTGGGGTGTTATTCAGAGATTTATGACAGATAATAGTGTTACAATGTCACTATTGATAAATTTTAAAAATGTATGTTTTGAAACCGCAATATCCTACTTGTACCTATAGCCCTATAACATGCAAAAAAAAGCAAAAAAGCATGTAAACACTAGGTATTTTTAAACTCAGGACAAAATTTTGAATCTATTTAGCAGTTTTTTTTCATTCGCTTTTGTAGATGAGTAAAAGATTTTTCAAGTAAAAGTCAAAAAACATGTATTTTTTTCAATTTTTCATCAGATTTTTGTATTTTTTTAAAATTAAAATACATGAGATTATATAAATAATGGTATGTAAAGAAAGCCCATTTTGTCCTGAAAAAAATAATATATAATTTGTATGGGAACAGTAAATGAGAAAGCGGAAAATTACAGCCAAACACAAACACCACAAAAGTGTAAAAATATTCCTGGTCGCAAATGTACAACATCGCAAAAACAGTCCAGTCCTTAAGGGGTTAAATGTCTATATTCAATTTTCATACATTGTTTTACCCGTCCGGGATACAGGTATTAATAACCCTTACGACTAGTAAGGGTATCTAATCATACTACCAGGTACATACACCTGCTCATGTGGTATATACATACATTTTCTGTTTCCCCCTGGGCATATCCTTAGCGTACTGGCAATTAGGGACTATAGGTTTCCAATAGGTATTATCTTTTCTTGACATCTACGCCTGTCGTATAGTGGTCCCGCGAGGCCAACACCCCGCCTCAACACTCGGAGGCAAACACCCATCGGGCCACTCGTGAGCTAGCCGCCTCGCATGGTATATAGAGAGGGCCTCACCTGTCACTCCCTTCCCCTTTTTTCTGGTTACAGTCACCGAGAGGCCAACATCCTGCCACTACGTTTGGTGGCCACAAAAATCCCCTCGCGCCATTGCATAGATAGAGCCTCTCAAGCCATTTGGCAACTAGCAGGGCCTCACCTGTCAACAAACAAATGATTTTGCTAGCAAGCCAGTACTAGCACACTGTGGGTTCATATAATAATGGCTATCTTCATGTTTTTTAGTATGTATCAAGCAGGTGGTAAGGATTTCTCTCTACCTAACACTCCAGCTAGAGTCAACAAACTTCCACTTGGAGAAGATGTTGCTAGTCCCACACGACAATTTTGTCCCAACACAGCAGACGATCACGTTTCAGGCTCCAGGTTCTAGCACCTCTGGTAGTATGTAGAGAACTACCAGAGACAAATTGGGTCGTCTCATTCTCTTTGGCAAATCCCAGATTGGCAACAATTTCCATTTTGGCACATGTAGTTTCAGTGCATGCAGACTGTTGCAGATATGATCTCAATATGTCAGGGCACATGCAAAAAACCATGTGTCCCAATAAATGTACCCTGAACCTTACTTCACGTCTGTAAACATTATGCATTTCCAGTACTTTCTAACTCATCACCCTTCCAGACATTTAGTTGATTTCCTAATCTCTGAATTTTAAAGGCCTTCCGGACAGGTATTGCCATATACTTTTGGGGGAATCTAGAATGCCCTAACTTGCAGTCATCACAGCAGCATCCAACAGCTGGCATTACACTCATGGCCCAAGAAATGGCAGAAAGATTTCTACCTCCGATTTACACCATTTACAGCGTGGCGCAATCGCATTGGGATTGTCACAGGGAATCTTCCCTCACACTGTAACTGATCATAGACTTATCTGCACCTCACGCCTCGGCTACCCCAAGTCTCAACTCCCTCATAACCTCCGAGGAGTTTTCATTACAGTATGCCACCATTGTTCATACCATTACAGCTATCACTCAAGCGGGGGCGAAGCCTGGTTAAGTAAAAGTGATATCACAAATGCATTTCAGACTGCCATCATCCACCCTACACTGGCACTTACAGGGTATTTATGGGCAGCAGTTATATATTTCTTCTCCCGCTTAGCTTTCGGGTCAAGAGCAGCCCACAATTTTCAATATATTCGTTGAACTCTTTGCTGGTTGTGGTTAAACATATCCAGATGCCCCACAGTCATACACTCCCGAGATGATTTCTTGTTGGTCAAAGGGAACGCCTTTCCCTCTAGAAGCTTCAAGGAAGCCATTAGTATGTCTGAACACTTGGGTGTCCCAGTATTCCCTAAGGTCACAGAAGACCCAGACACTATCGTTACATTCCTGGGCATACAACTTGACTCGGCATCCATGCCAACAAGTTACCACGTGAGAAATAGGAGCAGTCGCAACAACAACAATTACCACCTCCTGCTTGGTACGTGCAACCGCATGGAACTACAATCCCTACCAGGTTCCTTAAATTTTGCCATGCACATCATACCGCAGGCCGCGCTTTCATATAAGACCACTTTGCTTTTTCCACACTCCCGCATGATGATCAGGGGCTGTCCCTAGACAACCAAGCCACGGCAGACCTACACATATGGTGGACTTTCTTAACCACACGTAATGGTAAACTATTGTGACAGCAGCCATGGCAGGGGGGTCATTTTTTTTTTTTTTTTTTATTCTTTATTTTTGTTGTGCACAAATAACAATCAGTCTTACCCTGCCACATCAGCAGGAGCAACAGTATAAACACATTTAATATGACCGTGGCATTTGATATACCTGCACATTTTAAAAATAAATGCTCAGTACTCGGTGCATACAAAAAACGTGTGGTACCGTGTTCTGTCTTACAGTTGTACAGTGCATTGGCAGATTTTATATTGTATACAAAAATTGAAAAATCGACTGGGTTATTAAAGCAGAATAACTTGTGTCTTTGCTTTGTATATCCATTGGTAGAGCATGTTTGTGGACAGTGTAGTTTTTAGCCAGACGGGGCATTGTATAGTTGTGAAGGTGGATGCTTGCACCCCAGCCGGCGTGGTGTCCGCATGGGCAAACGGACCGTATATGGGACGTGTATGGGAAAAGGGCCCCAGCCCCCGGTCCTGTCTCCACTGGGCCTGTCTCGGGTGCGGTGGTGTAGCGTGTGAGGAGCCCCCGTGGTCTGCCATTAGCAGTGTCATTGGGGTATTGCTGGGGCAGCTTCGGCAGGGGGGTCATTTATGGTCAAGGTCATGGATTACATGAACCTCGCCAACATAACCGGGCTCTGACTAAACTGGCCTTGTCCACCAGCACTCAACATGCTTGCTACAGGGTTTTCCACTTATACAATACGTTTCATGTTGGACCATCACTTAGATAGCTGGTTTGAGGTTTCACCACTTATGGCCTTCGCCTCTTTTTGCCACCTTAAGTTAAAAATTCTCACACAACACGGTTAAACTTATCTCACGGGCATTCAACACTATACGTATTTCTCCTTCCCAAACTACAAGGATTCCTATCCTCCTACCCCATCCATACTTTACTTAGAGACATAGCCAAGCGGACGTTCCTGCTAAATTCCTTCCTAACTAAATACTGGCCATAGACATACAATGTTCAAACCATGTCAGAACCACTCGACCATGCACCTTCTGGGCCACGCACCAATGCAGTTATCAAAACCTGCTACCTATCTAACCTTTAACGGCTTTCTCAGGTCAAAAAAATAACTATCAGCAGCCAACATCATAAACAAGAGTGCCTGTTGACCTCTTATCTTCTAAAACACACAGACCATTATTTCCGGTCCCTTCCTAAAACTAAGACGAGTCAGATGGGCGAGCCAGTGCAAATAACCTACTACCTTACAAGCAATGCTGGGTGCCCAATTAAGGTACTGGTTACTTTCTTGGGCACGCCACCATATGCACCACTGAACCATTACTGTCGCTGTACGATACTGTCCTTACCACAGGTATGTTCATGCACTATGTCCACCTACTCATTCACCGGGCTCGAACTAAACCCTAGCGACTACTCAGGGTACTCCTTTAGGATAAGAGCAGCCTCCACGGCCTATATCCAAGACATCCCCGCACACGTTAAGACACACGGGGCCGCTGGGAATCATAGGCTTATGCGACTTACATACCACAGCCGATTCAGGAATTAGGAAGCTTTCATTAAAATGTCTACCTGATGGTTAACAAATGCACTATGATCCTGTATCATGTTTTGCATTAATATGTCTCTTTTTGCCCACTTTTTACCGGCCTACAGCATACGTCGGTTTCGGCACACCTCAACCGATTATTCCTAAAGCTACATCTCTACAACCCATCTTATTCTATATCAAATGAGAATGCCCCGAACACAAATTGGAAGGCATGGCCTGAAGTTGTGGGAGGGGCTATAGACCTATAAAAGGGACCCCCCCTTTCCCTACTTACCTTTGTTGGTCAGATGAATAGCCCCACCCTCCACTCCCATTGTTCATATTTCCTCTATGTAAGCCCACTTATTACCGGCCTACAGCATACGTCGGTTTCGGCACAGCTCAACCGATTATTCCTAAAGCTACATCTCTACAACCCATCTTATTCTATATCAAATGAGAATGCCCCGAACACAAATTATTCTTATTCTTATTATAGCTAAATTTACCACACCAACTCCTCCCACAGTTTTTACACTACATAGACAGAAATATGCCAAAACGTGCGGATTGTTCCCGATCAGATTTCTATTACTTTGTGGAACGTTTCGCCGAATGGTTCACGGAATATCTTCGTTCTTGTGGCGAAATTGGTCCCATAGGAATGAATAGCAAAATGTTCAAAACTAGAGTGGGAGCTGGCAAAAGCTCATTTTCAAGCCCACCTATTGTGATTCTCACAATATAAAGCACTTCGCTGTAGGATATTGTGATCCTTGTTTGCAGATAGCACGGTTCTCTAGGGTAAACAACAGGCACAGTCCTTTTATTTTCATATAATCCAGGCACTTTATTTGTAAGTCCACACAGGAGACAGCGGCAAATGAAAACAAATATAATATAAATCCCTATAAACAAAAACCTAGCTCGTCTGAGCACTTACTAGCATTAGGTTCCCTATCTCTCAGGGGTTAAACTAGAACAAAACAATATTGGTTTCTTTATCAGCTCTCTGCACTCCAGTGCTTAGTCAGCCTGTTGCTTTCCTTTCTACACTCCCAGTGCTCCAAGCCAGCCTTAACTGCTTTCCTTTCTGCACTCCCAGTGCTCCAAGCCAGCCTTGACTGCTTCCTTCTGCGCTCCCAGTGCCCAGTCTCCTTGACTCTCTCACTGGAGAGAACAGCCCCTCTCTTATTGCTTCCAGGGAGGAAGCCAGCAATCCCCCTTTACCTGCCTAGCAGGGAGGGGTTTATTCCCACTGCTACAGCTGATTATCTGCAGCTGATCAGTGGGTTGGAGACAGTTCCAAAAAACTCTGGCCTGGACCTTATTTCTCCCAGTTGTGTATAAACTGAGGAGTGGAGCATTAGCCCACCCTGCTCTCCAAATGCTCCACCCCAGGGGCCCATAACTAAACTTTGGTTTGTGTTGCCTACAACACATACTACACATACTCCCCCTGGAGTTAAATGTTATAGGTCTATCTGCCTTCACTTTATCACATATCCTTCCCCCAGCTCAGACCCATTGGGGGCGAGTGGCCTTCAAACACAAACCGTGAACATTCATATCACCTAGGGCTGTACCAGCTCTGACTAGCTTCTCAGTTACAGGAAGTGGCCTGTGCGGAAAGGGTGCTGGTGCACCAAGCAACCTGAATGGCAGTACTTTATGTTGCCATAACCCATCGGGAGCAGAAGACGCTGTCCGTCCCTTTGCTTTCTCTGTCAGGGTAACCTGCCAATACCCTATGACCAGGTCCAAGGTACTCAGATACCTGGCCTTACATATTCGCTCTTGTGTTTGAGCTACATGTACTATAGGGCATTTAACATTTGCAACCTCTGTAACAAACTCTACCTCTGCCGTGGGGTATGTGCGGGGGTCACCATGTGTACTCACAATATTAATCATTTGTCTTGTGTCACATTTCTCTGGCTGGAGCAGAACACTTTTTATCAAAGTAACCTCACTCCCTGAATCAATTAGTGCTTGTACACAATTCCCTTCCACCATCACCACTTTTAACTGTGCTGTAACACCAACACTACTCACCACACACATCTTAAAGCAAGTCAATACAATCCTATGCAGAGCCCTTTTTCTTATGTCACATTGTATTGGCTCTTCACTCTCAGGACAGTTATATGTAATATGTTCTTGCATGTGGTAGTTGAAGCATCTGAGTTTTTTCTCAGCCTGGTCTCGTAGCCGTAATGAGACTTTTGGGTACGTTCTACCATCATAACTATATTGTCCCAGGCTCAGTATCAGGTTTTGTCCTTTCTTTCCAGTTCCCCTGCTTATCTGGTTGCTAGTGGATCTAGGCTGATGATCAATACTGTGTGGCTCCTTAGCAGCCAAGTTCCTCTCAATCACTGTGGCAAACCTAGCCACTTAAGACTATTGCATGTGTGGATATTAGAAGGTTTGCTGGCTGTGCAAACCAAGTGTAATGTAGTATGGAGCGTTAATGCGAACAAGAGCGTTCGTATGCTTGTAATACGTGAAACCCAGCATTGCCTATGCAGTTTCACGAACAGTGAGTTTAACCCCTTAAGGACACATGACATATGTGACATGTCATGATTCCCTTTTATTCCAGAAGTTTGGTCCTTAAGGGGTTAAACACTGTTCATGAAACGAATGACCTACCGAACGGTCGACCACACACAGGAGGTCGTGTGGCGCCCATTAACCGATTGCAACATTGTTGCTATCGGTAGTTAATGACTTCCCTAGGTGGCCGTCGTTCGGCTACCGACCACGCGGCGTCTGCCATCTTGATTCCTTTATTAGCCCAGCGGGGTTTTGCCATCGAGCGCCTGGAACTAAAAACGGCTACTCGACGGCGCGAACCCCACTGGACTTCCAGGCTGTTCGGGAGTCCCGGCCGTTCGGTAGTTTGTTCCCCTAATATCAATCGCTATTTTAACCGTATGTTGGAAATAATGTGTGTTTCGTACGGCGTTCGGTTAGTTAGACTGGGAGCTGAGCGGTATTTCCACGAACTATGCGCTCAGCCTCCAGCTATCTACCGAACATCCATTCGTGTAAAACAAGTGAATATTGTTAAAGTTATGGATTTTTATGTGAAATGTAAGTTCTGCTGCACGGAGGGATAATCCCATTAACTGTATATTCCAGTGGGAGTATCCCTCTCGTCCAGCAGTGCATTGTAACGGATCACCTGGCACCCCGACTGGGTACCTCTGTTGAAGGATGCTCCTAGCGCTTCCTGAGGACTCCAAGCACTGCAGCAGACACCACAACCACCCCAGACTCCGCAACCGCTGTAGCTTGACTGGAGTCTCACCGTCTTCCTTCCACCCTGGATCATGCTTTTCAGCTTGCTAAAGACTTCTTCTACTGCCTCTGTCATCTTATGCAGGATGTCAGTAGCTTGGTTACGGGGTCCCTTGTCCCCATGCTCCCTGCAGGGGGCAATCTGCAAAACTTTAGTAAGGGCAGCTCTATGCTCCTGCTGAGCATCCCTCAGGTTCTTAACCTGTGCAGCCAGGAAATGGTTGGTGTCTTGTTCTTTAGCAGTTGCCTGTACCACAGCCCTCAGCAGGTCCTCCATTATAGCACCAAGCAGGTAACAGTCTTAAAGGTACAGTGCTATGTGTTTGCTTAACAGGTCTGCAAAAATAAAAGTCCTCAAGCAGACTACCGAATGACTGGCACACCCACAGACCCTCAATGTGCTACTATGCCTGCATTCTCCACCATATTGCCATATTGTGATCCTTGTCTGCAGGTAGCACGGTCCTCTAGGGTAAACAACAGGCACAATCCTTTTATTTGCATATAATCCAGGCACTTTATTTGTAAGTCCACACAGGAGACAGCAGCAAATGAAAACAAATATAACACAAATCCCTATAAACAAAAAGCCTAGCTCGTCTGAGCACTTACTAGCATTAGGTTCCCTATCTCTCAGGGGTTAAACTAGAACAAAACAATATTGGTTTCAACAACCTAGTGTCTTTGTCAGCTCTCTGCACTCCAGTGCTTAGTCAGCCTGTTGCTTTCCTTTCTACACTCCCAGTGCTCCAAGCCAGCCTTAACTGCTTTCCTTTCTGCACTCCCAGTGCTCCAAGCCAGCCTTGACTGCTTCCTTCTGTGCTCCCAGTGCTCAGTCTCCTTGACTCTCTCACTGGAGAGAATAGCCTCTCTCCTACCTGCTTCCATTGAGGAAGCCAGCAATGCCCCTTTACCTGCCTAGCAGGGAGGGGTTTATTCCCACTGCTACAGCTGATTATCTGCAGCTGAGCAGTGGATTGGAGACAGTTCCAAAAAACTCTGGCCTGTACCTTATTTCTCCCAGTTGTGTAAAAACTGCGGAGTGGAGCATTGGCCCACCCTGCTCTCCAAATGCTCCACCCCAGGGGCCCATAACTAAACTTTGGTTTGTGTTGCCTACAACACATACTACACATGTGGGTTAAATGTTATAGGCCTATCTGCCTTCACTTTATCACAATATATAGTTTTTAAAATACGACCGTTTGAAGTTGGCAACTGCCAAAATACTCTGACCTGTGCCAGGCTGGAGCAGCAAGTGATGTCATAGACAGGGCCTTTTGTACACCTGCTAATGTTTTTATAAATGTATGTTTTAATGTAACTGTGAAGCACTTTGGGCAACAACGTTGCAATTAAATGTGCTATATAAATAAATAAGTTACTCCGCCCACTCCAGTTGTAGACTACTGGTGGAGGCAAGAACACTTTACACAATTTCCCCAGAAACTGTAGCTTTTCTAGTTAAGGGTTCTTGTATAGCAAGACCACTTAATGTTATCTCACATATATATTTTTCTTATTATTATAGCCAAATTTACCACCCTAACTGCTCCCACAGTTTTTACACTACATAGACAGTAATATACCGAAACGTGCGGATTGTTCCCGATTGGATTGCTATTACTTTGTGGAATGTTTCGCCAAATGGTTCACCGAATATCGTCGTTCTTGTGGCGAAATTGGTACCATAGGAATGAATGGCAAAATGTTCAAAACTAGAGTGGGAGCTGGCAAAAGCTGAAAAATCAGGATATGATTTCTAAACTGCCACCACTCCCTCATTTTCAAGTCCACCTACACAAATCTTATATCAAAACATTCAGCTATCCCTGCTGCCACTAAAAATGTCCACGGCTAAGCCATAGTCCTGATAGTTTTCACAATATGACCATTTGTTTGCAACTCACGCCGTCATTGAAATTCATTGAAACTTCACTCTAGCCAGCTCAAACTTCAAGGGCAATTTCTAAACTGCGACTGTGCCTTAATTTTTAATACTTCAGAGACATACTATGCATCGAAATGTAGGTCTGGGTCTTGTGATTCTCACAATATAAAGCTATAAAGATTTATAGTTTTTAAAATACGACCATTTGAAGATGGCAACCGCCAAAATACTCTGACCTGTGCCAGGCAAGTGATGTCATAGACAGGTTGTAACGGATCACCTGGCACCCCGACTGGGTACCTCCGTTTAAGGATGCTCCTAGCGGACTCCAAGCACTGCAGCAGACATCACAACCACTGAACCGGAGAAGCATACGAATGCTCTCAAGCATATGAATGCTGTAAGCAGCTGAACAGGAAAAGCATACAATCAGCTTACACTCCTGGCAATAAGCATACAATCCAATTCCCCCAATAACGAGACGACACTTCATTTTGAGGTCAAGCAGAACTGCCTGTACTGGCACATACAGCCTCTTTTATTCACATTCTACAAACATAGTACTGCCCACAGGGTTTTGAAATACAACCAATCAATCCGTACAATACACACAGACACTCCCACACAAAATCCTCCCCTCTGCCTGTGATATGATTACTGAACACAATGGTTAATATAATTATCACAGACAGAGAAATACAGTATTATAAAACACATCACAGGGCTCCCAAAACATGCAATAACCCCATAAAAACCACATATCCACAATTCACCCAGATCCGTTCAGTAGTTTGGAAGATACAGTTTAATGCAGATTCCGCAGAACATATACAGGCTATATGAAAAATAATTACTGTATAATGTGTCCCCTGTTGTATAGTTTAAAACTACGGCACGATGTCTTGGTGCACCAAATACCGGCGAGATGGCACCGTGTAGAAAAGTCCAAACAGTGTGAGTTAAAATGGCCGCCATCCATTGTTCTCACCATGTGCTTCATCCATTGTTCTCACCATGTGCCTCTGATACAGGAAATGGTGGCCACCCAGTAACTCCACAGTATGTCCCCAGATGGTTCTTAAAGGGCCAGCAGCAGCACAACACAAATCCATTATGCCCAAATCATGTCTTTAAAGGGCAATACATCCCAGGGGCCATAGTCACATGGCAGGAGGCTGGCAATCAGTCTTCTCCAATGGCCAGTGGCGAGGTCAGTTTCGCCACACAGGGCCTTTTGTACACCTGCTAATGTTTTTATAAATGTATGTTTTAATGTAACTGTGAAGCCCTTTGGGCAACAACGTTGCAATTAAAAGTGCTATATAAATAAATAATCGTTACTCCGCCCACTCCAGTTGTAGACTACTGGTGAAGGCAAGAACACTTCACACTATCTAGTTTTCTATATTATTAATACCTTAGGTTTCTTTGCTTCTGAGGAATAAAAGAAAGAGATAAGCCTAAAACTCGCCTCCGTGTCCTTAATAAAATCATGACTTTACGTCATGTAATTAGTAAAATCTGGTAATTGTGTGCCACACTCCTATTACTCTCCCATAATGGATTGGCCCAAGATAAAGCTTTACCTTTTAACTGATTCATCATTCATTCTTGAATATTACCATCAAAATGCAGGGGAGGAGATAGGGAGATAGTAGGTGCCTTGTGTACTATAGGTGGAGGTAAATAAGGTGGAGGAGCAGCCGCGGTTGCAGATGCGCTGTTCGAGTAAGAAGCGTACTGAAGGCCTGGGCAAATTGATCCATGCGGTGATCATTTTCTTCCAGTTTCCTTTCGCAAGCAGCTATGTGCTTACACAATTCTACAGGATCTATGGCCATGTCGTAATGTCAGGATTAGAGTATGATCCAGCACATAGAATTGTGTAACACAGAGGACTGATAGGTAACGTATACCTGACCTTAGAATGGCCGGACTAACGTACCAAAGAATAGTCAGGAATAGCCGAGGTCAAGGGAAACAGAGAGACACACAACGATAAGGAAAAGTCAGGAGTCAGGGATGCTAGAAAACAGCGAAGTCAAAAACAATGCCAAAGTCAAATATCCAGAATAACCAGAATCAATAACGCGCTCTCGGACAACCACAATGGGAACCACGACAGGGCACTGAGCAGGATGAGAACTGGGCCTAAATACCCCTCCTCTAGATCTTATAGGCTGTAACCGGCCTTTGACCCCAAAGGCAGTTACCAGGTTCCCATTTGCATAATTGCTGCTCAGCATTAACCCTTCTGTGGATTGATTGCTGCTCGGCAGAACTTTTCCTGTCTGGACAGTAAATGCCATTAATCACATTTTTATGTGCAGATGAATACGTGACAGAGCGAGAGGGAGATACGTATGGCCGCTAGCTCCTCCCCCCAGAACATAACTTTTAAATTAAAGATAACACTATTACTATAAAGGTTTGTGTTGTGCTGAAATTGCTTTAGACAATACTTTCTCTAAACAATTATTATTATTATTATTATTATTATAGAGACACTAAATAGTCACTAAAACAGCTGTATCTTAATGAACCAGTTTTGGTGTATATAATCATGCTTCTGCTGTCTCAATGCTCAAATCTCCAGTTAAATCACTTTGTTTATACGAATGTAGTCACACCTCCCTGTATGTTATTTACTTAATGCGTGACCCCGACAGGACTAACAGACACATATTTATAACCAGATGATTTGGACACAGTAACAGAGGGACTGAGGGCCTGCTCAGTGAGTTTACATGTTAGAGGGAGTGGGGTATAGTGACACAGTAACAGAGGGATTGAGGACCCTGCTCAGTGAGTTTACATGTTAGAGGGAGTGGGGTATAGTGACACAGTAACAGAGGGATTGAGGGCCCTGCTCAGTGAGTTTACATGTTAGAGGGAGTGGGGTATAGTGACACAGTAACAGAGGGATTGAGGGCCCTGCTCAGTGAGTTTACATGTTAGAGGGAGTGGGGTATAGTGACACAGTAACAGAGGGATTGAGGGCCTGCTCAGTGAGTTTACATGATAGAGGGAGTGGGGTATAGTGACACAGTAACAGAGGGATTGAGGCCCTGCTCAGTGAGTTTACATGTTAGAGGGAGTGGGGTATAGTGACACAGTAACAGAGGGATTGAGGGTCCTGCTCAGTGAGCTTACATATTAGCGGAAGTGGGGTATAGTGACCATAACAGAGGGATTGAGGGCCCCGCTCAGTGAGTTTACATGTTAGAGGGAGTGGGGTATAGTGACACAGTAAGAGAGGGATTAAGGGCCCTGCTCAATGAGTTTACATGCCAGAGGGAGTATGGTATAGTGAAACAAAAGGTAAGGGTAGTGTAGAAAAGTAGGTTTCTAGAATAGTATTCTCTGAGGGCTTAATGTTGTGTTGATGACAGTTGCAGGAGAGGAATTAGGGAGTGGGGAGGTAAAGTTTAATTGATATGCTTTCGTGATGAAGTGAGTTTTCAGTGATTTTGTGAAGGAGTGGCGATTGGGTGAAAGTCTAACAGAGAGGGGAAGGGTGTTCTATAGGAACGGCGCAGCCCTAGAGAAGTCTTTAAGGTGAGCATCAGAGGTAGGAGTACCAACAGAGGTTAGACGTAGGTCTCTGGCAGAGTGTAGGGGACTAGACTGGACATACGTGTGTATTATGGAGGATACGAAGGTTGGAGCAGCATTGTGTAGAGACTTGTAAACAAGTACCAGGATCTTAAATTGAGCCCTGTATCTTATGGGAAGCAAATGAAAGGAAGGACAGAGGGTTGAGGTGTGGAAGGTGCAGGCGGACAGGAAGATGAGCCTCGCCACCGCATTCATTATAGACTGTAACAGGGCAAACTGGGAACATGTAGGACCAGTGAGAAGCGGATTACAGTAGTCAAGGTGAGAGAAGACAACGTCACATACCAGCACATTAGCCACATTCGGCGTTAAATAGGGGCGGATACGTGCTATGTTTTTGAGATGGAAGTGGCAAGATTTGGCGATTGACTGGGTTGAAGTAGAGGTAAAAGTCAAAGAACACCTAGGTAGTGAACTTGTGAGGTAGAGCTGACGGTAGTGTCGTTGAGTTGAAGGGAGACAGACATGGTTCACCCCTACACACATGCTGTGTGACCCTCATTATCTCATCAGCATTCACCCCTTCCCTATGCTGTCTGACCCCCATTATCTGATCAGTTTTCACCCCTCCCTCATGCTTGCTGACTCCCATTAACTGAGCAGTATTCACCCCTCCCCCATGTTGTGTGTCCCCATTATCTGATCGGTATATACCTCTTCCCCATGTTGTGTGACCCCATTATCTGATCATTATTCACCCGTCCCCCATGTTGTGTGACCCCATTATCTGATCAGTATTCACCCCTCCCCCTTGTTGTGTGACCCCATTATCTGATTGGTATATACCCCTCCCCCATGGTGTGTGACCCCATTATCTGATTGGTATATACCCCTCCCCCATGTTGTGTGACCCCATTATCTGATCATTATTCACCCCTCCCCCTTGTTGTGTGACCCCATTATCTGATTGGTATATACCCCTCCCCCATGTTGTGTGACCCCATTATCTGACCAGTATTCACCCCTCCCCCATGTTGTGTGACCCCATTATCCGATTAATATTCTGCTTCTTTGTATTTAAACAGATTTATATTCTGTGAAATGGACAGAACTGTAATGATATAAATATTGATGGATGGGAGAAAATAATCAATTTAATTGATTTGTTGCTTCTTTTTAGAGTTTTTGGATGATGTCATGGTTGATGCGTGTAATAAATATAACGGGCTCAGTTACCACACTTTGCCGACCCTCTTCTTGGAATTTCACGGCACAGAGAGTGGAGTGCGAGAGCAAGTACAACAGACAGGTACTGAGTGTGCATGAAACGCGCTGCCACCGATAAGACTGATGGTCCTGGCAGGGGCACAGGTTGAGCTAAGGCTATTATCCAACATGGAATAGGAAAGGAAACCATGGGCTTTAATTTATATAAAACAACTGCAACCATTTTTAAAGCTATGTCCATCTGTTCCAATTTCCCAGAGGAGATAACTCAACTAAATGGCGGCTCAGACTTCACTTGGGCGAGGGATCAGGAGGAGAGAAGCAAGCTGTGGACTGCCCGGCACAACGCGTGGTATGCCGCCCTGGCACTGCGTCCAGGATGCAGGGTGAGATATCTGTTAATACTATTAAAGTACACTTCCACGTTAATCATCCTTATGGTCTGAATATAAAGGACTATATTGTGAGGGATCATCTATTGCCTATTAATAGTACAATTACACTTTTAGTTTCAGACATTTTTTATGGAGACTGAAAATTGTGATATCAATGACAAGCCATGGTTCATCATCAGCTGAGAATGAGCATGAAACAGGTTAAAGAACCTAATTTTTACAAAATTAATTTCTTCTAAATGCCCAAATGTTTTCATATGCATCTCTTGGTATCTGGATGTAGGTATTAGTTTATAGAGTTTGAGGAAAGTGGATTATAAAGTAAGAAAATGTTTATTCAATTTTGTCAGTCCATTGGTGGTTGTGACGAACTGAACCTCATCACAGGTGCTTGGAGGGGCCTGCTGGCCAGCCTCTTGCCAAAAGACTACGGGCCAAGTCAACAATTGTAAAGACCCATATTTAATTTTTTTCTGGTTCCCCTGGTTTGGCACTTTCCACAGAACCAAACGCTAGCTCCCTGGCGGCCATTCGCTTGGACCAAAACCGCGAATAGACTTCAGAGGGACTTAGCCAGGAATGCCCTGGAACTATTTTCAGCATGAAGACTTCACGCTTCCTGGTCGGTCGCTAGCTGCACTTAGCAACCGTTTTGGGCATGGGACCATGTGTGCGGTCGGTAAAACCTATGACTTCCATGAAATTCCTGAACCCCTGAACTGATCTGGGTGTTTTTTGGATATGATGGTCACCCAGATCAGGGCTATCAGGGGATATTATGTGTTTTAAGGTATTTTGGGGGGTTTGTAAAAATGTGTGTTTTTTGTGTTTGGAGATAATTAAGTTTAGTATAGTGCTTGACTCAATTATCTCCTAAGTAAAGGGGAAGTCTTATTGTATTGTATTTGGAACTGTCATGCATTTTAACACTGGTATTATTGGTCTGTGACTTTGTAACGGAGTTCCCCACAAGGTCCATGTGGGAGTGCCCCTTGCATGGGGATTGTCATAAAAGGCCAAGTGTGGCACCATTAAAATAAGTTCCTCTTCACACTCAACATAGAACCTCGTCTCAGGTGTGGAGGGAACAGCTATATTCACTATGGGGATTGCTATACTCAATATACTCCCCTGGGTTCTAATCACTAGCTCTAAGAGCTGTTTCTGCTGTACTCTCTGGAGTAGGAGAGGTTCACCCACTGGAAGCTGGATCCTGGTCTTGGATCCAGGGTGGGTGGAGGACGGCAAGATTCCCAACCAAGCTGCGTCGGTTTGTGGGAGTCTACGGTGCTGATGGTGTCTGGTGGAGTGCTCGGAGTCCTCGGTGAGTACTAGGAGCATCGAATGGTGGAGGCACCCGGTCGTGGTGCCAGGCGGTCCGTCACAGTGGTGTCGTCGTAAGGAAAGAGCGTATGGGTCCAATCTGTAAGGAAGCTTGTCGAGTAGAATAGAGATCTACATTGTGTATCCAGTCGATGGGACTCATATGTGATGTGATGGAGTGTAGAAAACTATGAATTTGAAAGCAACTTAAAAGCTTAATGTTAATGGCAGGGAAATTATCTTTTAATTTAGTATTTTTTTCGTAGAGGCGTCCACACATTGTCCAATTTCTCATAGATCTAGGTTGAACAACGCCCTTAACGGAAGAGGGTTGTTGTAGGGACATGTTGGGCCACTGATATCTCTGCTATGGCCATCATGATCCCCTGTATAGATTGGGTAAATCCCAGTTGTCGGGGGTATAGAATATGAGTTAAGATTTGCAACATTTGACTCGCAATTATTATTGATAAAAGTTTAATCAGGAGGCTTGAGGGTCAAAATGGTCCTAGCCTCAGCTAGTCCCTTCAGGGAGCACTCATTGAGGTATATGTCATTACATAGAGTGGTGAAGGGGTCCAAGAGGTGTCCCGCTGTTCACTGTGTTTTAAAGTATTCTGAGTTGAATCCATTGGACCTGTGGCTTTCCCTATGGGCTGGCTGGTGATGATAACACCTTTAAAAAAGAATTGGCACTTTTAGTAATGGAATGCCACCATTAATAACAAATTGGCACTTTTAGTAATGGAATGCCACCTTTAATAAAGCATTGACACTTTTAGTAATGGAATGCCACCTTTAATAACACATTGGCACTTTTAGTAATGGAATGCCACCTTTAATAACACATTGCCACTTTTAGTAATGGAATGCCACCTTTAATAAAGAATTGGCACTTTTAGTAATGGAATGCTGTAACGAATCCGCTATACTGACTGAGTATATCTGTTAGAAGTCTCCCAAATCCCAAGCGAAGCAGTGATTAAAGCTCTTGGTTACGCAAACATCAGCCGAGACTTGATGAAGGGTACAACAGGATCTCTTTATTAAAGGCCAGATGCACAGACCCCCACTGGGGGTCTCCACCCACAGTAATGTAAAACATAAGCCCGCCCCGGCATCGCTGTGTCTTGGAGATAATTGTATCTCCCAGGCACAGGAAGCCGACACACAAAAATACATATAATACAATAATGCATCCCCGCATGTCGTACATCCCTAAATAGCTCGTGGTCCCAGCTAGGATCCCTGCAAATTTCAGGGCAATCGGATGTACAGACCCTGGGAAGTTGTCATGTAAAGTCTGGTCTCGAGGATCTGTTCATACCCGAAAATAGTTCTATAAGATCACTTGGTTTCGCGCCTAAACCAAGCAGCGGCCAATTGACAGGATTACTAAATGATCCAACATGTAGGATCCAACACTTAGGATCAATAGGTAACGTATTACCAGGCCTTAGAATGGCCGGAGAGACAATGATAAGGGAAAGCCAGAAGTCAGGGATACCAGAATACAGGGGAGTCAAACGAAGCCAAAGTCAAAAACCAGAATATAAATGCTCAGGAACACACTCTCGGGCAACCACTATAAAAACCACGGCAGGGCAATGAGGAAAAGTAATTTTGAGCTTAAATATGCGCTTTACATTTCTGATTGGCCGAGAATGGCCTTTTACCCCAAAACGTGCGCGCACATCTCCCGCATGACGTCACGCGCATGCCGATGTCGTCATTAACGTGGACGGGCGTGGAGGTATAATTTGGCGTGGATCCGCAGCGGCCGGCATCTATTGACATTTCGCAAGAGTCATTTCTGCAGGCGCACGGCCGCTGGGCACAAATACCGCAAGGTGAGGAGGAATAGGTTAAATTACCACCCACCTGAAGACCAGGCTTGGACCGGACCAGGCTTGAGAGGAAATTTGGCATGAAAGGAACAAATTTTGCGGCCAGCATGGATGTCAGAGGCCAGAACTTAAGAACGTTCAGCAGGCCCATACCCCCTCCAATCAACCAAATACTGTAAGGTGCCACAAGAAAACTTGGAATTAATTATGGAGGAGACCTCATACTCCTCCTGTCCAGAAACAACCAATGGAGGAGGGGGAACACTGGGGACAGTATATCTATTTCAAACAAGTGGATTGAGCAAGGAGACATAAAAGGTGTTGGGAATATGCAAAGAAGCAGGAAGTGCCAGAGAATAAGAGACAGGAATAATTCTCCTAATGATATGGAACAGACCAAGGAACCTGGGGGCAAACTTCATGCTAGGAACTTTCAGCCTAACGTTGCACGATGATAACCACACCCTCTCACCCACTTGGTAAACAGGGTTGGCACTCTGCCGTTTATCAGCATAATACTTGAAACGATCAGCTGCAGTTTCCAGAGCGGAGTGAACCTTGGTCCACGTCTAATGGATAGAAGCAAGGTGATCATCCAAAGCAGGTATAGCCATGTCAGAGAAAACAGCTGGTAGTACAGTAGGATGACGACTGTTATTAATGAAGAAAGGACTATGACCAGAAGGGTCATGATTAGCATTGTTTCTAGCAAACTTGGCCCAGGGAAGTAATTATCTTGAGTGCTATTAACAAAACAACGCAAGTATAATTCCAGAGACTGGTTAGCCCTCTCAGCCGTGCCATGGAGATGGTGCCATGGAGAAAGCCCTCCAAAACCAAGACACAAACTGAGAACCTCTGTCAGAGACAATATTGTGAGGGATGCCGTGTAATCGGACAATTTCACGTATAAAAATAAGAACTAAGTCTTGAAGTGGGACAAAATGAGCCATCTTGGAAAATCGGTTAACCCCCATAAGGATGGTGGTATAGCCATTAGAACTAAGAAGTTCCACAATGAAATCCATGGACAAATGGGACCACAGGACACTGGGTACGGCAAGTGGATGTAATGATTAAAACGGAAGTATGAGGTACTTTAGAAACTGCACACACAGAACAGACCTACACATATTCCTTAACATCTTTTCTGAGGGAACCCCACCAAAATGATCTCATGATCGCGGATATAGACTTATTAATTCCCAGGTGTCCAGCAGTCACGTTGTTATGGAATACTTTCATGACATTTTTCTTTTCACCCAATGGAACAAACAATCTATCCAGTGGTTTATTGCATGGCGCCTGAGACTGAACCTCCATGATGGCGCCAAGCAGAAGAGACGATAAGGAAAGGACAGTGGAAGCGTTAATACACTCAGGAGGAATAATAGGGGATGTCTCCTGTTCCTGTACTGATTCAGTATCAAACTGTCTAGATAAGGCCTTCACATTTTTGAGACCAGGTCTATAAGTTATTAGAAAGTTAAAGCGAGAAAGGAACAGAGACCATCTAGTCTGTCTAGAAGATAGTCATTTAGCACCCCCTATATAAGCCAAATTTTTATGGTCAGTAATAATCAACAGGGGGTCCTTGGAACTCTCTAAAAGATGTTGGCATTCATTGAGTGCTAGTATATTGGCCAACAATTCTCTATTGCCAATATCATAATTGTGCTCAGCAGGGGACAACTTTCTACTGAAGTAACCACATGGATGCAAAGGAGTATCCTGGCTCTCCCTCTGGGAGAGAACAGCCCCCACCCCAGTCTCGGAGGTATCAACCTCCAATATAAAGGGTTTGCTGGTGTCGGGATGAATCAATATGTCAGCAGAAGCAAACCTTTGTTTGAGGAGTTCAAAAGCTTCTCTAGCCTCCTTAGACCATATCGTACTGCTAGTCCCCTTGCGTGTCATATTGGTGATGGGGGCTACCACAGGAGAGAATCCTTTGATAAATCTCCTGTAATAATTGACAAACCCAATAAACCTTTGAATGGCTTTTAATCCATTGGGCAAAGGTCAATTTAGAACAGATTCTAATTTATGATGATCCATCTGAAACCCAGAGGGAGAAATGTTATACCCTAAAAACTGTACTTCAGTCTGATCAAAGATGCATTTTTCCAGTTTACAATAAAGCTGTTTTTTTAGTAAAGTTTGCAATACTTGTTTAACATGTTCATGGTGAATCTGAGGGTCGGGGAATATATAAGGATATCATCCAGATAGACTAGGACAAATTAATAAATATAGTCCCTGAGTATGTTATTAATAAAGTCCTTGAACACGGCCGGAGCATTGCACAACTCGAAGGGCATCACAAGGTACTTCTAGTGTTAAATGCCGTTTTCCACTCATGATTTTCCTATATCGTTGCCAAATTATACGCACTCCAGAGGTCAAGTTTGGTAAAGACTTTAGTACCCTGGAGTCTGTCAAACAATTTTGAAATGAGGGGAATGGGATAGGCATATTTAATGGTGATTTTGTTTAATGCCCTGTAGTCAATGCATGGACATAATTCACCATCTTTTTTAGACACAGAAAAGAATCCTGCACCAGCAGGCGTGGATGATTTACGTATGTGGCCCTTGCGTAGGGAGTCTTGGATGTACTCCTCCATTATTCTACTCTCCTTTTGCTCAAAGCATATACTGCTCCCTTAGGTGGCATAGCGCCAGGTAGTAGGTTTATGGAGCAGTCATATGGTCTGTGAGGAGGTAGAATATCGGTTCGACTCTTACTGAATACCTCCTTAACCCTTGCATGAAGAGTCCTTCTTGTTACATTTGATCGTAATATCGAGGAGAAACCTATTTTTTGTTATTTCCAGAGGACATATCCATTAAACCTAAGACCTGTCCCCTTAAGGTTCTTAGGTGCGGAGGTTTTCCAGACGTATGGGACAAGCACTCCTCATATGTCCTCTTCTACCGCAGTATAGGCATAGGCCCTCTTTTCTCCTATATTGTCTTTCTGCCTCTGACAGTCTAGTGACCCCCAACTGCATGGGTTCGGATTCTGGACTTTGTAGGGAGGTCAGGAACAACAGGTCTGGAAAAATGAGGTGCCAATGACATGTTTCTAATAGCTTCTCTGGTTCTCAATAAGTTTTTTGGGTAAGTCTATGGCAGAAATCTCATCCAAAATAGTCTCAGATAATCCTTTCTTAAATGCAGAGATTAATGCGGAGATTAATCCGCTGTTTGTCCAGTCTACCTCAGAAGCCAAGGTGCGAAATTCTATGGCATAATCCGAGATAGACCGGTTCCCTTGTTTGATATGCATTAGGGCAGTGGAGGCTTCATCCTTCCTGCCCAATGGTTCAAATGTTAATTTAAATTCCGCAAGGAATTCCTGGTAATTGTGTGCAATGCTCCTATTACTCTCCCATAACGGATTGGCCCAAGCTAAAGCTTTACCTTTAAGTTGGTTCATCACGTAAGCAATATTAGCTCTGTCTGTGGGAAAAGAACCCGGTGAGGCCTCAAAATGATACTCAATTTGATTTGGGAATACCCGACATTCCCAATACTACCACAAAATGCAGGGGAGGAGATAGGGAGTTAGTATGTGCCTTATGTACTATAGGTAGAGGTGACACAGTCGGAGAAGCTGCAGGTTGCAGATGGCTGTTCGAGTAAGAAGCGTACTGAAGGCCTGGGCAAATGTATACATGCAGTTCCTTTGGTCCCAATCTCACAAAAGGGATTCCTGGAGTTCTACTTTTGGCTACTGGGCCATGGGTATCCCTAGATTCCTCATCACCTACCCAAATAGCACATGACTGGTGGTTGGGAGACAGAGCAAATTCAATCAAAGTTTTACTGGATCGTGGTACCATTCTGATTTGGTAACAGTTCTGTGGCAGAACCACTGCTTATTTGTATGTTTTCCCTGTGTCTTGTGTGTTTTCCCATTGGTTGTGTGTACTGTGTTATTCCCCATTCGGGACGGCCATACGAACGGAATCTTTTCATCTCCCAAACGGGGACCATCCCATTGCCCCAAGTGTTTACCCAATTAATTAGAACGGTCGTGCCTGGTGTGTGACGCGAAAGAGCAAGGGAAGTAATTAATGAGTGCTCCCCTAGGTGGCGCCATTTCATATAGACGATTACCAACCAGGGGGAGCATTTGTGTCCAGTGGAGACGCTTCCCTTGCATGGTTACAGCACAGGAACCTCCTCCACTGAAGCTGGTCGGGTAATGCACCGTTGCTTCTGAGGTTGGTGGGGACACTTTTGGTGCATTGGGAAGTTTGGCGAGCTTTTTTGTGCATGGGGGACAGTGAGACAATCTCTTGACTGTGCTCCCAGGCACAGAGGCTCCTAGGGTGAAGATCCCCTGTCGTTTTGTGTAGGAGTGTCCTCGCCTGAGTGGCGAAACAACTATACTTAGGAGACAAAGGGACAGCGACACAGAATCCCTCAGATAGCCCTGATCTAGGTGACCATCCTGGGAAAAATCACCCAGATCAGTTCAGGGGTTCAGGAATTTCCTGGAAGTCTTATTTTGACCGACTGACTGGAATAAAATCAGTTGTACTGGCTGTGCGGTCGGTCTACCAGTTACTGGGGGGAAATGGATATAAAATACCTAATGGTTCATGAGCGGCTGAAGGAAGGTATGTGGAGGTTCCGGCTTATTCTTACCGGTCCTCTACAAGTTCCATGGCGATTAAGGAACATCTGTTCAGGCACTAGATGCGAGAATGGATCCAGGTCGAGTGTCCGCTCCAGCGAGTAGTATTCGACCTGGGGCCACCACTCATTGTGCTTGTTAAGATGGCCACCGCCACAGTTCGAATGCGCTTCGGACCACTTCGGGAATTCAAAGTGCCACTTCAAATCACTTCGGGAGTTCGAAGTGCTGCTTCACAAAAGTTTATTACATGGGCCATATTCACAGGGCAGGAGGCTGGCAAACAGGCTCCTCCAAAAGCCAGTGGCGAGGTTATTTTCGTCACAGTGTGTGTATATGCTAGTGCAGGGACGGACTGACAGTGGCCTGGGCCCCCAGGCAAAATTAGCACCTGGGCCCCCAGCAGACCGATATTTATGCTGGTGTAGGTGTACCATGTATTTGATTGTATGTACATGTAAAGTGAAAGTATGTTTCTGTGTGTATATTCACTGTGGCGCTAGTGTAAGTGAATATATGTAGGTCTTGTGTGTAGGTCAGGATATGTAGATTCATAGTATATTATACATGTTTTTGGTTTTGTAAACATGGTAGTATTTTTTTTTTTTAATTCTTTATTTTTGTATTGCCATACAATAGAGGGGGACTTTCCATGAATGGAGGAGGTAGTTTTTATCATACAGGTCATGTTCGTATTAACTTCCTAGGTTAGAGTTTTCTCAGGGATCCCAGATCTTCTGAAAAGTTTTTAAGGAGCCCCTTATCCTAGCCGTTAGGTTGTCCATCAAATGGACCTCTTTTATCCTGTTTATCACCCCTGCCATGGGTGGTGTGCCTGGTTTAAGCCACTCTGAGGCTATGGCTCTCCTAGCTGCTAACGTAATTTTGTGGATGAGCTTTTGTTCATGCCTAGTCCAGCCATCTATGGATCTGTTTAATAAGAATAGCCATGGATCTAGGTCTGGGGATTTAGAAAAGACCTGCGACAACAGGGCTTGTATCCGTTTCCAAAATATGACCATATGAGGGCATTCCCACCACATGTGGACATAAGTCCCTCCAGGCCGCAGCCCCTCCAGCACACATGTGTAGGGTTTTTTTTTCATTTGATGTAGTTTAACCGGGGTAGTGTACCAGCGAAGCATAGTTTTGACAGATTGTTTCTGAAGGGTAACGCATACGGAAGAGGTATGGTTAGCCTCCCAAATCTCTTGCCACTCAATGCCTTCCAGCATTGCCCCTAGGTCTCTCTCCCATTTATCCATATAGGCTAGCTTACCCCAGTCCCCAGCTTCTGAACAGAGGTGGGCATACATAAGCCTTATCATGCCTTTAGGTATGGTTTCTTGAAGGCAGATGTGTTCGAAGAACGTAATCTTTTGCAGGGCTGCTGCTTTGATGTGTGCTAATTTTGCGTAATCTTTAAGTTGTATGTATCAGAAAAAATCTGAGGGGGCAAGGTGGCCCCGCTGTCTTAACGTATCAAAAGGGATGACCTCTGGTCCCTGGTACAATTGGCAGATGCGTTGTAACCCTATTCGCTCTAAGTTTTTGAAGGCTCTAGCTGTCATTCCGGGGGTAAAGGCCTTATTGCGTAAGTATGGCATTAGAGGAGACGGGTCAGATGCTAAGTGAAACTTATATTTAAGGGAGTTCCACATCCGCAAGGAGTTGATTATAGTCAGGCAGGTGACCCTTATCTCGGGTCTGTGTTCTTTAGGGACCCACATGAGGAGCTGTGGAATGTCCGCGTCCGTCATGAGAGATTCTACGTCTGCCCATTTTCTGTCTCCTGGGGGAGAGTGCCACATCGCCACTTGAGTCAATTGAGTCGCTGTGTAATAGTAATATACGTTTGGGAGACCCAGGCCCCCTTTCGTCTTTGGCCTACATAAAATGTATCTGGAAATTCTATGTCTTTTGTTCTGCAAGGACGATCTGGGGACGCGGATGGGCAGCGCTTGAAACAAAAATAGAACTCTAAGCAAAATGTTCATTTTAACAGCGTGAATTCTTCCTGTTCACGAAATAGGTCTGTCCACCCACGTCTCCATCTCCCGTATCAGCTGTTTCATCAATGGTGTATAATTTTGGTCGTATAATTTTTCTGGATTTGCTGTCAGGCGAATACCTAGATATTTAAGTGTCTGTTGTTCGCTGGTACTCCTATTGGGAGGGCGCTAGACTTCGCCATGTTTGCTTTGTACTCCGAAATAGTCCCAAAGTCCCTTAGCAACCACTGCAGGGCTCCTATTGAGTTCACCGGGTCGGTGACCGCTAGGAGCACATCATCCGCATAGGCTGAAACCAGAAATTCCCTGCCTCCCACTTCAACACCCTTCACGCCCGGGTGGCGCCGTAATGCCTGTAATAGGGGTTCAAACGACAGTACAAATAGAAGGGGGGGATAGAGGGCACCCCTTTCGAGTACCATTGAAAAGGTGAAAAGGGCAAAGCGGGGCTCCTGAGATTTTCACCTGCGCTCTGACATTAGTATACATCGCTCTTAATAAGGTCGTGAACTGTTCAGGGAACCCTAGATGGGTCAGGAGCGAGAACAGGTAAGGCCACTTCATTCTGTCAAACGCTTTTTCAGCGTCGAGCGAAACAAACATCGTTGGTAGTATTTTTTTGTGTGTGTGTTTGTGTAGCATGGCAGTATGTATAAGGGGGTATTTGTGAATTTTGGCAATGTGTTTGTATGAGGTATGCAGGCCTCCAAATCTTGAGTCTTAATTACAAACTAAGTGTCAGGAATACAAACGTGTATTCCCCCCTTAAAAACTTGATTTACTCACCTTTTTTCCAGCACCGACCAAATTAATTTAGATGATCTCAGCCAACCCAATGCTCTACCATAGGAAAGCACTGGAACACTATTGTGCATGTGCGGCAAAACGCCACACTGTGCCAATCACCATCTCCTCACAGAGATGCATTGAATCAGTGTTTCTCTATGACAAGTGTGACGAAGTGCCCTTCGCCACTTGTGCCTGGAGAGGACTGCTTGCCCGCCTCTTGCCCTGTGACTATGGCCCCTGGGATGTATTGCCCTTTAAAGACATGATTTGGGCATAATGGATTTGTGTTGTGCTGCTGCTGGCCCTTTAAGAACCATCTGGGGACATACTGTGGAGTTACTGGGTGGCCACCATTTCCTGTATCAGAAGCACATGGTGAGAACAATGGATGGCGCCATTTTAACTCACAGACACTGTTTGGACTTTTCAACACGGTGCCATCTCGCCAGTATTTGGTGCACAGAGACATCGTGCAGTGGTTTTGGACTATACAGCAGGGGACACATTATACAGTGATTGTTTTTCATTTAGCCTGTATATGTTCTGCAGAATCTGCATTAAACTGTATTTTCCAAAGTACTGAACGGATCTGGGTGAATTTTGGATATGTGGTTCACCCAGATCCCCCGGTTCCAAGGATATACTTTTTATGGGGTTATTGCATGTTTTGGGGTCCCTGTGTGTTTTATGAAACTGTATTATTTCTGGCCAGCAGATAATTGAGCTTTGTGTATTTTAGAAACTCAATTATCTAGCCTGGCCCAGAGGAGGAGTTTTGTGTTGCATAAATTGTGAGTTCTGTGTGCCAGTAAATCAGTCTTGTTCCAGCATTAAGCCTTGGCTCATGTTTGGGGGATTGGAGAAATACACTCTGGGGATTGCTATAATCACTATACTCCCCAGGGTATGATCACTAAGTTCTGCTAAGAGCTTGTTCCTGTTCCTGCTCTCTGGGGAAAGAGAGGTTCACCCACTGGAAGCTGGACCCTGGCCTTGGGTCCAGGGTGGGTGGAGACAGCAGAGACCCTGGCGCAGTTGCATCGCTGGAAGTGGGGTCTGCAGTGCTGATGGTGTCGGTTGGAGTGCTTGGAGTCCTCAGTGAGCACTAGGAGCATCGATTGGCGGAGGTACTCAGTCGGAGTGCCAGCGTTCCGTCACATTTGGTGGCAGCGGTGGGATGGCGTCCTAGTGCGAGGACCAGCAGCTCAGAGACACCGGTAACGTGTGGAGTTACGGATTTATAATTGAGGGCAACGCTAGCCTCTGCGCAGCGTCCCTACCTACAGCAACATGGAGCTAGCAAGACCCTGGACAGCAGCCAGTGAATTGCAAATCCGCCTGTCACAGTGCTATGAGGGTGCTGATTTCATGAAGGAAGTAAAGGCGCGGCTGGTCTGGTTTGGCCCAAACCCTTCAGATGAGGTGGTCCATCAAGTGATGCGCCTGTTGAGTGCTGAGAACCAAGACGCACGGAACTACGAGTACCAACTGTGGAGTTTGGGGGTATTGACACCCCGTCTCCAGCGACAGAGTGAGTTACAGGGAGAGGAGAGCAGCGACCTCCCTTCCCAGCGGCAGTGCACCGTACAGAGGGAAGAGACAACCGGTCTCTCTCCCCAGCGGCGGCCTGAGTTCCAGGAGGAGGTGATGGTAGATCCCTCCCCCGTACAGCAACCAGCGTCCTGGGGAGGGGAGGCAACCGGCCTCCCTCTCCAACAGCAGCCAGAGGTGGGCGACCTCATAGACTTGTCCTGGGGACACAGAGAGATGGCAAGCGGAGATGGGACCGAAGTCTCTCTGCCAGCCCTACAGGGATGCTGGGCAGTCAGCCCAGGTCCCCAGCGGCAGTATAATATACAGGGAGAGGAGACAACTGGTCTCTCTCCCCAGCGGCGGCCTGAGTTCCAGGAGGAGGTGATGGTCGATCCCTCCACCTTACAGCAACCAGCGTCCTGGGGAGTGGGGGCAACCAGCCTCCCCCTCCAACAGCAGCCAGAGATACCGGGAGAGGGGGAAGACAAACCTAACCACACTGGCGCAGATGGGACCGCGGTCTCTGTGCCAGTCCTACAGGGAGGCTGGACGGGCGGTCCAGATCCCCAACCAACCCCGCAGGGATGCCAGGAGGAGGAGGTAAGCGAAACTTCCCCTCCCCAGCTACATCCCAACTGGGGGGGGCAGTGGATGAGCCTGCGATACCCACTGACCCCCTCCCAGCAGAAGAGCTGGCATCTGGGCAGAGCTCTGTTAGCCTCTGCCCCCCCTTTTCCCCTGTATCAGAGCCTGACTTACCACGGGTTACCCCAGTGGAAGAGCTGGCAGCAGGGCAGAGCGCCGCTGGCCTCTGCCCCCCAAGCAACACCAGCAGTTTGCCTAGCTGCACCAGGGAGACCGAGAGTGCTGCGCTGTCCCACTACAAACTTGAACCTACAGGCCAGTACCATTTATTGTGGGGGGGTTACTCTGCGTATTTTTCTTTGTGGGTGGGCTGCCCGACTAATCTAGGTACTGACCGGCAGAAGGTCAGGTACCTGTTTAGTCTTCCCCCCAAAGGGAGGATGTGTGACGAAGTGCCCTTCGCCACTTGTGCCTGGAGAGTGCCAGCGTTCCGTCACATTTGGTGGCAGCGGTGGGATGGCGTCCTAGTGCGAGGACCAGCAGCTCGGAGACACCGGTAACGTGTGGAGTTACGGATTTATAATTGAGGGCAACGCTAGCACTTGTGCAGCGACCCTGGCTTCAGAGGAACTCAAGGGATAGAGCTAGCTACGGTTAGCGTCCCTATCCACAGCAACATGGAAGAGGAGTTTCGCTGGAGGTTGCAGCAGCACTTGGCCCAACAGGACGGGCCTGTATCAGAGGAGTGCATACTGGACTGGAGAGATGTCACTCGTACGGAGATGTGGCACGATGCCCTGGAAAAGGTACAACGGCGGCGGGGAGAGAGCCTTCCCAGTGACGAGCAGCGGTTCCAGGTACTCGAGGCCCTGCGCTCCCCTTTCCTAGGGGAGCAACCCTTGGATGAATGGTTGTTGGAACTCTGGGATTTAATTTGGAAGGAGTTGTGGCTAGATGCAGCTTACCGGGCATTAAAGTGGTACGCCACCCAGCGCAACCCCTCGATGACTAACCACTATCTGCCCGAGGGAGAGGATTATAATGGCCCAGGCTTACTGTGGGAGGCCTATGAGGAGGGCGATGACTTTGGATGCCCCACAGAGTTTCGGTTCTGGGACATCCACAACATCAGGGAAACCCTGCTGGATCTTCCCCGAGCGGACGACCTGGGGCCAGACCTGAGTCATCTGGTCGCAATGGAGTGGGGGCTGGAGCAGAGCTACCGACGCCTGTTCAACTTAGCCCAATCACCGTCCCTCGGCCCAGAGGATTACCTGGACACCCTACCCTCTTCTGTCCAACCAGCCCCAGAGGTGAGCAACCTTATGGAACGGTCCTGGGAAGACCCACAGATGGCAGGTGAAGATGGAACCGAGGTCTCTCCACCTGCCCCACAGGGATGCTGGGTACCCGGCCCAGATCCCCAGCGGCAGTGTATCTCACAGGGAGAGGAGACAACCGGTCTCCCTTCCCAGCAGCAGCCTGAGTTCCAGGAGGAGGTGATGGTAGATCCCTCCCCCATACAGCAACCAGCATCCTGGAGAGGGGAGGCAACCGGCCTCCCTCTCCTCCACCAACCAGAGGTACCTGAGGTAGTGGACCTCATAGACGTGTCCTGGGGACACACAGAGATGGCAAGCGGAGATGGGACCGAAGTCTCTCTGCCAGCCCTACAGGGATGCTGGGCAGTCAGCCCAGGTCCCCAGCGGCAACATAATATACAGGGAGAGGAGACAACTGGTCTCTCTCCCCAGCGGCGGCCTGAGTTCCAGGAGGAGGTGATGGTTGATCCCTCCACCTTACAGCAACCAGCGTCCTGGGGAGTGGGGGCAACCAGCCTCCCCCTCCAACAGCAGCCAGAGATACCGGGAGAGGGGGAAGACAAACCTAACCACACTGGCGCAGATGGGACCGCGGTCTCCCTTCCCAGCAGCAGCCTGAGTTCCAGGAGGAGGTGATGGTAGATCCCTCCCCCATACAGCAACCAGCGTCCTGGAGAGGGGAGGCAACCGGCCTCCCTCTCCTCCACCAACCAGAGGTACCTGAGGTAGTGGACCTCATAGACGTGTCCTGGGGACACACAGAGATGGCAAGCGGAGATGGGACCGAAGTCTCTCTGCCAGCCCTACAGGGATGCTGGGCAGTCAGCCCAGGTCCCCAGCGGCAGCATAATATACAGGGAGAGGAGACAACTGGTCTCTCTCCCCAGCGGCGGCCTGAGTTCCAGGAGGAGGTGATGGTCGATCCCTCCACCTTACAGCAACCAGCCCTCAACCCCTCCAACAGCAGCCAGAGATACCGGGAGAGGGGGAAGACAAACCTAACCACACTGGCGCAGATGGGACCGCAGTCTCTGTGCCAGTCCTACAGGGAGGCTGGACGGGCGGTCCAGATCCCCAACCAACCCCGCAGGGATGCCAGGAGGAGGAGGTAAGCAAAACTTCCCCTCCCCAGCTACATCCCAACCGGGTCCTGGGGGCAGTGGATGAGCCTGCGATACCCACTGACCCCCTCCCAGCAGAAGAGCTGGCCTCTGGGCAGAGCTCTGTTAGCCTCTGCCCCCCCTTTTCCCCTGTATCAGAGCCTGACTTACCACGGGTTACCCCAGTGGAAGAGCTGGCAGCAGGGCAGAGCGCCGCTGGCCTCTGCCCCCAAGCAACACCAGCAGTTTGCCTAGCTGCACCAGGGAGACCGAGAGAGCTGCGCTGTCCCACTACAAACTTGAACCTACAGGCCAGTACCATTTATTGTGGGGGGGTTACTCTGCATATTTTTCTTTGTGGGTGGGCTGCCCGACTAATCTAGATACTGACCGGCAGAAGGTCAGGTACCTGTTTAGTCTTCCCCCCAAAGGGAAGATGTGTGACGAAGTGCCCTTCGCCACTTGTGCCTGGAGAGGACTGCTTGCCCGCCTCTTGCCCTGTGACTATGGCCCCTGGGATGTATTGCCCTTTAAAGACATGATTTGGGCATAATGGATTTGTGTTGTGCTGCTGCTGGCCCTTTAAGAACCATCTGGGGACATACTGTGGAGTTACTGGGTGGCCACCATTTCCTGTATCAGAAGCACATGGTGAGAACAATGGATGGCGCCATTTTAACTCACAGACACTGTTTGGACTTTTCAACACGGTGCCATCTTGCCAGTATTTGGTGCACAGAGACATTGTGCAGTGGTTTTGGACTATACAGCAAGGGACACATTATAAAGTGATTGTTTTTCATTTAGCCTGTATATGTTCTGCAGAATCTGCATTAAACTGTATTTTCCAAAGTACTGAACGGATCTGGGTGAATTTTTGATATGTGGTTCACCCAGATCCCCCGGTTCCAAGGATATACTTTTTATGGGGTTATTGCATGTTTTGGGGTCCCTGTGTGTTTTATGAAACTGTATTATTTCTGGCCAGCAGATAATTGAGCTTTGTGTATTGTAGAAACTCAATTATCTAGCCTGGCCCAGAGGAGGAGTTTTGTATTGCATAAATTGTGAGTTCTGTGCCAGTAAATCAGTCTTGTTCCAGCATTAAGCCTTGGCTCATGTTTGGGGGATTGGAGAAATACACTCTGGGGATTGCTATAATCACTATACTCCCCAGGGTATGATCACTAAGTTCTGCTAAGAGCTTGTTCCTGTTCCTGCTCTCTGGGGAAAAGAGAGGTTCACCCACTGGAAGCTGGATCCTGGCCTTGGGTCCAGGGTGGGTGGAGACAGCAGAGACCCTGGCGCAGTTGCATCGCTGGAAGTGGGGTCTGCAGTGCTGATGGTGTCTGTTGGAGTGCTTGGAGTCCTCAGTGAGCACTAGGAGCATCGATTGGCGGAGGTACTCAGTCGGAGTGCCAGCGTTCCGTCACAACAAGCGTTTAGCGTCTCCATGCAGAGCATGGAGATGCTGAATGTCAGTGGTGCACACTTTGCAACACTGACACAGGAAGCATCTAGGTGCTAGGTGTTCCTAGGCAGCAATGTAAACGCTTCCTTTTTTTTCTGAAAAGGCATTCTTTACAGCAAAAACCCTGCAAGGGCAGACTTTACTCACCAGAACTACATTAAGCTGTAGTTGTTCTGGTAACTATAGTGTCCCTTTATGTTTGTGTGTGCAAAAGGAGTAGGGACTGCAGAGGGTGCCGGGAGGAAAGGGCTGTAGAGGGTGTGCGTGGAAGGGGCTGCAGATGGTACAGGGGGGAGACGCTGTAGAGGGAATGGGGTGAATAGAGGCTGTAGTGGGTGCAGAGGAGGGACAGGCTGTAATAGGTGCAAATGGCAATAGGGGCTGTTGTCTTTGCAGGGGGAAATAGGAGCTGTAGTAAGTGCAGGGAGTGTAGGGGCTGTAGTGGGTGCTTAGGGTATAGGGGCTGTAGTGGTTGCATAGGGTATAGGCAGTGGTATATCCTGGTTTTGTGCTGCCCTAGGCATGACAAAACTCAGACACCCCCTCCCCGTACCACCCCCGCCTTCTAATTACACATACACACTCACTGACAGACACACACATTTGCTAACAGACACGTACACTAGCTAACAGACACACACATTCACTAACAGACATGCATAAACTCTCATTAACAGACACACAAACAAACAGACACATAGTAACACACTCCCTAACAGACACACACACTCACTAACAGACACACACATAGTAACACATTCCCTAACAGACACACACATTGACACACACTCACTAACAGACACACACACTCTCTAACAGACACACACACACACTCACTCACTAGCACACACACATTAACACACTCACATTTTTTTTTAAATGCAATCCCCCCAGCCTCCTTACCTTTGGGAATGCTGGGGTGCATTAACACTTTCCCTGGGGTCCAGTGGGGCTGCTGGGCGGCCGGCCGGTCGGTGAGTGCAGTCGGCGAGGGTGCACTAATCGTCCTGTTCAGCTCCTGACGTCATATCCCGGCTCGGCATCACTGCCGAGGAGGATTAGTGCTCCCTCGCCGCCTGCCCAGAAGGCCACCTCCCCCAGAAAGTGCCGCCCAAGGCAAACCCCTTGTTTGCCTCGCGGTAAAGGGGCTGTAGTGGGCCAGCGGTTAGGGGATGCAGGGGGGCTGGGATAGCAAGGTGGCTGGGGCTGCAGTGCGGATAGGGGCTGCAGAGGGAGAGGGTAGGTAGGGGCTGCAGAGGAGCTGGGGAGTAGGGGCTGCAGAGGGAGCAGGGGGGTAGGGGCTGCAGTGAGGGAGAGGGGAGGTATGGAATGCACAGGGAGGGGGGGTTGGGGCTGCTAGAGAGCAGGGGTTAGCTGCAGAGGGAGAGGGGAGGTAGGGGATGCAGAGGGAGCAGGGAGAGGGAGAGGGGAGGTAGGGGATGCAGAGGGAGCAGGGAGGTAGGGGATGCAGAGGGAGCAAGTGGGGTTGGGGTTACAGAGGGAGCAGAGGGGGTTGGGGCTGCAGTGGTAGCAGGGGGGGTATGGGCTGCAGAGGGAGAGGGGAGGTAGGGGTTGCAGGAGAGGTAGGGGCTGCAGAGGGAGCGGGGGAGTAGGCGCTGCAGAAGGAGCAGGGGGGTGCAGGGATACCGAGGGAGAGAGGAGGTAGGGGATGCAGAGGGAGCAGGGAGGTAGGGGGATGCAGAGGGAGCAGGAGGTGGCCAACAGAGGGAGCCGGGGGCTACAGAGGGAGCAGGGGGGGTAGGGGCTACAGAGGGAGCAGGGGGTTAAGGGCTACAGAGGGAGCAGGGGGTTAGGGGCTACAGCGGGAACATGGGGTAGGGCAGTGATGGCTAACCTTTAACAGCGCGACCAGGCCCCCTTTGATGACATCACAGCTGGGAGGAAGTGACTCATCCCAGCTATCAGACAGAGCCGCGCAGGAGGAAAAGAGAAGGGAGTCAGAGTGGGAACTCCGATTCCCATCAGGCTGAGCCTCCAATGGACTCCAGGAAAGTCACCCTCCTGCATCTAAAAGGTAGGAAACAGGGGGGGGGGGTGACTAAAATATTTTGTGTGTGTGTGTGTTTGTTTGTATGTATGTTTGTGTGTCTGTATGAATGTTTCTCTGTCTGTGTGTGTGTATGTCTGTGCATGTGTGTTTGTGTGTGTGTGTCTGTATATATGTGTCTGTGTGTGTATGTTTTTGTATGTATGTATGTGTGTTTATAAATGTGTCTGTGTGTGTGTGTGTGTGTGTGTATGTGTGTCTGTATGTATGTTTGCTTGTATGTGTGTTTGTATATATGTGTGTGTGTCTGTATATATGTGTCTGTGTGTGTACAGTGGCGGAAATACAGTGGTCGCAGCTGCAACCGGGCCCGTTACTCCAGGTGCCCACCGCCATGTGTTGCAGCATGGCCCGCGTGGGGGGGCACGTATTAGTTTTCGTACCGGGGCCCCATGGATCGTGTGTACGCCACTGATCCTAGTGTTACTTTCTACAGTCGCATTTCTGGGTAAATACATTCTTTACCATTGTTATGGTGCACCTTCATCCATAGCGCTTCCCAAATGTAGCAAAGTCCAACTTGTTTAGGGTGTTTTATTGCACATTAGTTTACTGAGATTATGCCTAACGTGTTGAAATTTAGTGAAGTTATTGAAAGAAGGTCCATGCTCGCAGTGAGAGACAGAGACTGTCCCATATTATGGGTTTTGCCAGAGTATTTCATTCTACTTTTCTTATTTCAGGGCTATGCCACGGATGTGTGTGTTCCCATTTCTAAGCTCCCTGAAATCGTAATGAAAACAAAGAAAGATCTGTTAGAATCAGAACTTACCGGTGGGTGTCATTCTACTGATCTATAGCGATCGATTGATCCGTAACTATCTAATCACAAACATGCGGCCACTTTGCAGGTCCAATTGCCGGACATGTTGGGGATGGGAACTTTCATTGCATTATGGTGCTAAACGTGGATGACAAGGACGAGGTGTCCAGGGTAAAGGCATTTACGGACAGACTGGCCAGGTAAAGCATAGGTTATAACTAGGTTATTTACTAATGTAAGAATTGCTGGGAATACAACATGCATTCAAGGTGAATTTACAATGTTAGGCCGAGATAGCCAATTCTGTTTTCACTTCGCTCGTCATGTTTAGTAATGTGTGGTATAGAGAAGGGTAACATTGGGTAAGACTATCACTGTGTGTGGTTTAGAGAAGGGTAACATTGGGTAATATTGTCACTGTCTGTGTTATAGAGAAGGGTAACATTGGGTAATATTGTCACTGTCTGTGTTATAGAGAAGGGTAACATTGGGTAATATTGTCACTGTCTGTGTTATAGAGAAGGGTAACATTGGGTAATACTGTCACTGTGTGCGGTATAGAGAAGGGTAACATTGGGTAATACTGTCACTGTGTGTGGTATAGAGAAGGGTAACATTGGGTAATACTGTCACTGTGTGTGGTATAGAGAAGGGTAACATTGGGTGTCACCGCCACCACAGTATAGAGAAGGGTAACATTGGGTAATACTGTCACTGTGTGTGGTATAGAGAAGGGTAACATTGGGTAATACTGTCACTGTGTGTGGTATAGAGAAGGGTAACATTGGGTAATACTGTCACTGTGTGCGGTATAGAGAAGGGTAACATTGGGTAATACTGTCACTGTGTGTGGTATAGAGAATGGTAACATTGGGTAATACTGTGACTGTGTGCGGTATAGAGAAGGGTAACATTGGGTAATACTGTCACTGTGTGTGGTATAGAGAATGGTAACATTGGGTAATACTGTGACTGTGTGCGGTATAGAGAAGGGTAACATTGGGTAATACTGTCACTGTGTGTGGTATAGAGAAGGGTAACATTGGGTAATACTGTCACTGTGTGTGGTATAGAGAATGGTAACATTGGGTAATACTGTCACTGTGTGTGGTATAGAGAATGGTAACATTGGGTAATACTGTCACTGTGTGCGGTATAGAGAAGGGTAACATTAGGTAATACTGTCACTGTGTGTGGTATAGAGAATGGTAACATTGGGTAATACTGTCACTGTGTGCGGTATAGAGAAGGGTAACATTAGGTAATACTGTCACTGTGTGTGGTATAGAGAATGGTAACATTGGGTAATATTGTCACTGTGTGTGGTACACAGAATGGTAATATGGGGTAATATTGTCACTGTGCGGCATAGAGAAGGGTAACATTGGTTAATATTGTCACTGTGTGTGGTATAAAGAAGGGTAACATTGGGTAATATTGTCACCGTGTGTGGTATAGAGAAGGGTAACATTGGGTAATATTGTCACTGTGTGAGGCATAGAGAAGGGTAACATGGGGTAATACTGTCACTGTGTGCGGTATAGAGAAGGGTAACATTGGGTAATATTGTCACTGTGTGCGGTATAGAGAAGGGTAACATTGGGTAATATTGTCACTGTGTGCGGTATAGAGAAGGGTAACATGGGGTAATACTGTCACTGTTTGTGGTATAGAGAATGGTAATATTTTCCCCTTGTGTGGTTACCCTGAAATAAAAGTAAAATAATATAATAGTGAAAATAAGGGTAACAACCCCCTATTTTCCTCTCAGTAAAATCAAATCAAAACCTACTATCCTAGAATAATAGTGTATACCACACACAGTGACAGTATTACCCCATGTTACCATTCTCTATACCACACACAGTGACAGTATTACCCAATGTTACCCTTCTCTATACCACACACAGTGACAGTATTACCCAATGTTACCCTTCTCTATACCGCACACAGTGACAGTATTACCCCATGTTACCCTTCTCTATACCGCACACAGTGACAGTATTACCCCATGTTACCATTCTCTATACCACACACAGCAACAGTATTACCCCATGTGTAATACCCAAAATAAAGCATTGGATGGCACCAAATTACAGGCTTTATTAGAACTGGTCTAATTGTCCAAACAGTGCTTTAGGTATATAGCTACACATATATATAGTGGAGTAGGGGAATTAGTAGTCCAACACTTTAATCACTCCTTATATAATGAATACATTCCCCAAACTAAAAATGAATCTGTGCCTACAGGTGGTACCGTGTCTAGTTAGTTTTGAAGGGAGAGAGAGACCCCTATACTTATTCTAAACTACACTATGTATCTATTTGTATCTCTCTAGTTACTATATACCAGCTGCACTCTCTCCTTAACCCCTATGTATATTTAAACAAATGGAGGTCATTTAGTTACTCCAATGGCCACTGGAGGGAATGCCCGTCTGCCAACGTCAAGGCAGACCTCCATAGACAGGTCCTACTCTGCCCCTTTACCTTGCTTCTTTGACCTTCTGGCAAAGATATCTCTAATGAGACAGAAAGGGGTATTTTTTTATATACACCCCTATATACTTGTGTGGCAAACCTAGCCACTTAAGACTGTATTTCCCACTTAAGACTGTATTTACATGTATGTGATATTGTGGCTTTAAGACTACCTGAACTGTCCATGTTACCTATTCTGTATTTTATGTGAACGAGAGCATTCGTATGCTGGCGGCACGAAAGCCGCCAGCATTCATACAGTAGGTTCACGAACAGTGAATTTCAACACTGTTCGTGAAACAAACAAACTACCGAATGGGAGACCACACACAGTAGGTTGTGTGGCTCCCATTACGGATCGCAACAATGTAGCTTTCGTTAGTTAATAGATGTTCAGGGTGGCCGCTGTTCAGATACCGACCACGCGGCGGCGGCCATCTTGGATCCTTTGTTAGCCCAGGGATGTTCGGTCGTCGAGTGCCTGGAACTAAAATCTGCTACTCGACGGCACGAACACTGCTGGACTTCCAGGCCGTTTGGGAGCACCGGTCTTTCGGTATTTTATCTCTGCATGTGTATTCATGACTTTGGTGAAGAATTTGTGTGCAAGTCTATTTCGTGCGGCGTTCAGCTAATTGTGCTGGGATCTGAGCGGTACTTTCACGAAGACCCCAGCTATCTGCCGAACGGTCATTTGGTACAATAGCACGAATAATGTTAGAGTTATAGATTTTTATGTAAAAAGCCAGTTCTGCTGTACGGAGGGATAATCCACTTAACTGGATATTCTAGTGGGAGTATCCCTCTCGTACAGCAGTGCATGGTGGGAGAAATTTTCTGGTTGTTAAGTTCCCCATGTAGTCCCCTACTGTACAACCCCTGTAAAGTCAGTAAGGAAACCCCTTGCATGGGGAACCACATAAATACTGGAGCTTGTGAATAAAACCTCAGTTGACTCCCAGCCTATGTGTCATCTAGTTCTTGGGAAGCAAGGATCTGTATAACGCTACTGGGATTATTGTATGCTGTACTTGTTTTATTTGGATTATTACATGCTGTTCCTGTATACCAGCGGAGATACTGTGGATTATACTACCTCTCCGCTACATAGAAACATAGAATGTGACGGCAGATAAGAACCATTCGGCCCATCTAGTCTGCCCAATTTTCTAAATACTTTCATTAGTCCCTAGCCTTATCTAATAGTTAGGATAGCCTTATGCCTATCCCACGCATGCTTAAACTCCTTTACTGTGTTAACCTCTACCACTTCAGTTGGAAGGCTATTCCATGCATCCACTACCCTCTCAGTAAAGTAATACTTCCTGATATTATTTTTAAACCTTTGTCCCTCTAATTTAAGACTATGTTCTCTTGTTGTGGTAGTTTTTCTTCTTTTAAATATGGTCTCCTCCTTTACTGTGTTGATTACCTTTATGTATTTAAATGTTTCTATCACATCTCCCTGTCTCCTCTTTCCTCCAAACTATACATGTTAAGATCCTTTAAAGGACCACTATAGTGCCAGGAAAACATACTAGTTTTCCTGGCACTATAGTGCCCTGAGGGTACCCCCACCCTCAGGGTCCCCCTCCCGCCCGGCTCTGGAAGGGGGAAAGGGGTAAAAACTTACCTTTTTCCAGCGCTGGGCGGGGAGCTCTCTGCCTCGTCTCCTCCGATCCGCCCCATCAGCTGAATGCGCACGCGTGACAAGAGCTGCGCGCGCATTCAGCCGGTCGCATAGGAAAGCATTCATAATGCTTTCCTCTGGACGCTTGCGTGCTCTCACTGTGATTTTCACAGTGAGAAGCACGCAAGCGCCTCTAGCGGCTGTCAATGAGACAGCCACTAGAGGATTTGGAGGAAGGCTTAACCCATTGATAAACATAGCAGTTTCTCTGAAATTGTTATGTTTATAAAAAAAAATGGGTTAACCCTAGAAGGACCTGGCACTCAGACCACTTCATTAAGCTGAAGTGGTCTGGGTGCCTAGAGTGGTCCTTTAAGGAGAGAGCGCAGGTAACTTTTTTCTTTGGTTTTTACTGTATATTGGGGCTGATGTGTACTGTGGTTGTTGCTGCGCCCAGGAGTAATGGGAGTGAGCGCAGGACTTTTCTTTTTGTATTATGTACCAGTACCTGGAGGCTCACATTCAAGAGCACTTTAGTGGACTGGTATTTTCATTAAAGGGACACTATAGTCACCAGAACAAATACAGCTAAATGTATACTATACAGCTTAATGAAGTTGTTCTGGTGAGTATAATAGCTCCCTTCAGGCATTTTCATGTAAACACTGCCATTTCAGAGAGAAAACACAGTGTTTATTTTGGTTATTGCACTATCATGCCATGATAGTAGGTTTTGATTTGATTTTATTGAGAGGTAAATAGGGGTTGTTACCCTTATTTTCACTATTATATTATTTTACTTTTATTTAATTTTGTCTGTTTATTTAGAGGATTTTTGGTTTTGAGGCAGTTACTATCTCCAGGTAGCAATACTTGTCTATTGCATCCTCTAATATTGGTAAATATTGTCACGGTGTGCATTTTATTGCTTGTATCAGTGCATATTTTAGACAGAAAAGGAAATATATTTGCTATGTTTTATAAATGTGTGTTAAACGCATTTCCATTGTCTCATCTCTCAGGAGAGCACTGGCATTGAACGGAACGTGCACAGGGGAGCATGGCATTGGCCTTGGAAAACGTTCACTGTTAGTGGAGGAGATTGGCGAAGTTGGTATTGCCACAATGAAACAGATCAAAGCCACATTGGATCCCCAAAATATAATGAACCCTGGCAAGGTCATTTAAAATGTATTTCAAATAATCATTCACCTGCAGGACACGACAGTTATTACAGTGATGCTGGTATGGAAGGGTTCATTGTCACACAGGCTGACACAAGTTGAAGATAGGTTGTGCCAAAGTGACAAGGTGATTTAAGTGGAATTGTGTGTATTTGGATGATAAATATGTTTTGACGTGTGAGATAATTAAATGATGTGGAACGGGTCAGATAGAGTTATATGTAAATTAAGAAAAAGAAGAAGACGATATCAGGAAAAACCTAATATGTGGTCATAAATATGGTCAGAGAGGTAATGTGGGCATGACCCAAGTTAATTAGCAAAAAGATACAAATAAGGTAAAGGAATCAGCCTAACAAAGGTAGAAACCCTCCTTACTGAAATTGCCTCCTAAGTAGAGTCATTCAAAGGTAATGGCAAAACAAAAAATAATACTAAACTTTATTTAATCAAGATCCTAAAGTTAAAATATGAGAGTAAAGTGAAGAAAGGAGAGCAGGAGAAAGTGTCTTGTAATCATCCACAAGTATTAAGGGTATTGTTGAGCACCTCGGACATTTTGTTCTTCTCGGACTATGCTATACACATTGTTTTGTGCATGCAAAAGGTATTATAGAGGGATTTTTATACCTTTAATACTTGTGGATGATTACAAGACACTTTCTCCTGCTCTCCTTTCTTCACTTTACTCTATCGTATTTTAACTTTAGGATCTTGATTAAATAAAGTTTAGTATTATTTTTTGTTGTTTTGCCATTACCTACTTAGGAGGCAATTTCAGTAAGGAGGGTTTCTACCTTTGTTAGGCTGATTGCTTTACCTTATTTGTATCCTTTTTTATATGTAAATTAATGACCTCTCTTATAGTGTCAGAAAAGGATAAAAGAATGGGAAGAAGGAGAAAGAAACAATAAAATATTAACACAATATAAAGTTTCAGTCAGTCTGTCATGGAATGGAATGTAGAATCGCTACAGGAAGATTACAGACAGACATAGGAAAACAGGTCTGGCTAATGACTGCCTGTCCTATTCTTAGTATCTTCCTGGAGCTACTGGCTCGTAGTTTCTTAATAAGACACTGTCTGATAACTAAGTTGATTGTTGCTCCTGAATTGCTGAATGACACTGAAATTGTTCTATGTTGAATAGCGAGCTCTTGGGGAAAAGTGAAACGTTAGCCATATGGTCATTAAAATATGTCATAACATAAAATCAAGCAAGGAAAACATTGTTTTTTTAGTTGAAAAGTTATTGATAAAGAGCCTGTGAGGTCAAAACCATCAAATTCAATGTGAGCAAACAATAAATCAGTGAAATTTACTCACAAAACATGTGTTTGTGTATCTGTTCGAGTAGACTGTGTGTATCTGTGTCTGTGTGGGCAGACTGTGTGTCTTTTTATGTGTGGACAGACTGTGTGTATGTATCTGTGTCTGTGTGGGCAGACTGTGTGTCTTTGTATGTGTGGACAGACTGTGTGTGTGTATTGGTGTGTTTCTGTGCATATGTTGGCAGACTGTGTGTGTATCTGTGTATTTGTGTGTCTGTGCATGTGTGGGCAGACTGTGTGTGTATCTGTATGTGTCTTTGCATGTGTGGGCAGACTGTGTATCAGTGTGTGTCTGCGCATGTGTTGACAGACTGTGTATCTGTATGTGTCTTTGCATGTGTGGGCAGACTGTGTGTGTATCTGTATGTGTCTTTGCATGTGTTGGCAGACTGTGCGTGTATTTGTCTGTGTCAAGATCAGGTGAAATCATAACGCACAGACTTAATGGACAAACAGAGTCAGTAAGAATAGCAAGGTCAAAGAGAAATGTGCATAAACGTTAAATAAGCCGAGTTCAAAGGATTACAGGAGACAGGAACCAGAATAAATACTAAAGATACAAGAAGAAACTTGCTATTGGACTAACAAGAACCACAACAGGGCAACAAGGAATGGTAGAGATAAGTGTATATGTAGGTAGGTCTCACCTCTCGATGACCCATGTCATCTTGGAATTACATATTATTTGTTGAGGGTATTTTACTCCTCTTTCTGACCTCTGACGTAATTTCTGTGCGCCAAATCCGCTTCACTGAATTCCGCCTTTGCATAGATAAGCATTCTGCGTGCAAGGGTGCTGTGTCGGACAGTACGCCGGAAGAAGCAGGTAAGCTGGCAGCAAGTCTGACAGTGTATGTCTGTTTGTGTGGGCACACTGTGTTTTTGTTTATCTTTGAGTGTCTTTGAATGTATGTGTGGGCAGACTGTGTGTATCTGTGTGTTTGTCTATGTATGTGTGGGTGTATCTGTGTGTGTCTATGTATGTGTGGGCAGACTGTGTGTATCTGTGTGTGTGTGTGTCTATGCATGTATGGGCAGACTGTGTGTATCTGTGTGTGTGTCTATGTATGTGTGGGCAGACTGTGTGTATCTGTGTGTGTGTGTCTATGCATGTATGGGCAGACTGTGTGTATCTGTGTGTGTGTCTATGCATGTGTGGGCAGACTGTGTGTATCTGTGTGTTTGTCTATGCATGTGTGGGCAGACTGTGTGTATCTGTGTGTGTGTGGGTAGACTGTGTGTATCTGTGTGTGTGTCTATGCATGTGTGGGCAGACTGTGTGTATCTGTGTGTGTTTGTCTATGTATGTGTGGGCAGACTGTGTGTATCTGTGTGTGTCTATGTATGTGTGGGCAGACTGTGTGTATCTGTGTGTGTGTCTATGCATGTGTGGGCAGACTGTGTGTGTGTCTATGCATGTGTGGGCAGACTGTGTGTATCTGTGTGTGTCTATGCATGTGTGGGCAGACTGTGTGTATCTGTGTGTGTGTCTATGCATGTGTGGGCAGACTGTGTGTATCTGTGTGTGTGTCTGGCGCATGCGTTGCGACTGCGTATCTGTGTGTGTGTGGGCAGACTGTGTGTATCTGTGTGTCTGGCGTATGCGGGGCAGACCGTGTATCTGCGTGTGTCTGGCGTACGTACAAGCAGACTGTGCGTATCTGTGCGTGTCTGGCGCAATGCGGGCAGACTGTGTGTATCTGTGCGTGTGTCTATGCAGTGTGGGCAGACCGTGCGTATTCGTGCGTGGGCAGACTGTGCATCTGTGTGTGCGTCTGGCGCATGTGCGGTGACTGTGTGTATCCGTGCGTGCTCCATGCATGTGGGCAGACGTGTATCTGTGTGCGACTGTATCTGTGTGTGTGTGTCTATGCATGTGCGGGCAGACTGTGCGTAATCTGTGCGTGGGCGACTGTGTGTGTCTGTGTGTGTGTGTCTATGCATGTGTGGGCAGACTGTGTGTATCTGTGTGTGTGGGCAGACTGTGTGTATCTGTGTGTGTGTCTATCTATGTGTGGGTAGACTGTGTGTATCTGTGTGTGTGGGCAGACTGTGTATCTGTGTGTGTGTCTATGCATGTGTGGGCAGACTGTGTATCTGTGTGTGTGTCTATGCATGTGTGGGCAGACTGTGTGTATCTGTGTGTGTGGGCAGACTGTGTGTATCTGTGTGTGTGTCTATCTATGTGTGGGCAGACTGTGTGTATCTGTGTGTGTGGGCAGACTGTGTGTATCTGTGTGTGTGTCTATGCATGTGTGGGCAGACTGTGTGTATCTGTGTGTGTGTGTCTATGCATGTGTGGGTAGACTGTGTATTAATGAATCTATGTGTCAGGATCTTACGTGAGTTGGGAGTCTGTAGCGCAGAGATGTTTGCTCACCCTTGCAGATAGACACAGATAATAAACTACCTGGCTGGACTGTGAATCTGTGCACGGGGGCTGTGCAGGAAATGTGATTCCAATGCACTACCGACAATGACACAAACAGGAGGATAGTTGAGGGATAGCCGAAGTCAAAGGATGCCAGAAGTCAGGAGACTTGAAAACAAGATCAGTAAATGAAGTTATAGAATAATTTATAGATATAATATATACAGTTATAGAATAATTTATAGATATAATATAATAGTTATAGAATAATTTATAGATATAATATATACAGTTATAGAATAATTTATAGATATAATAAAG